AATTGATCTACGGCCAGATTTACTACCTACTATAGAATTTGAGTTTACCCTATTCATTCATACAAAATTCAACAAGCGTAAATATTACATAAAAAACCTCATTTCACATTTACCTTACAAACATTCCATTTAAAATGTTTTTTTTTTTATTTAATAATTTTTACTATTTAAAGCAAATGAAAGTAAGTGTAATCAAATACGTACTTACCGTAAATATAAATCTTTCCGCCTAAACGTAAAATAGACTTACTATTTTGCTGATTGCATTTTACTAATTAAATAGTGATGCTGTATTCTGTAATTTTCATAGCGCTCTTTCAGCGCGCATTCGGCGGTTACCAATATATTATTTACCAACAGCTTATTGTTGCTATTTCAAATGTTATAAAAGTCTGTATTTTGACTGAATCAAAACATGTTGCTCCCCGTTAGGAAGTCAGTAATTTCATTATGTACAATCCACTGACAGGCGATATTGACGATAATAAAAATTTTCGTCTCTGCTGTCGTGTACCTCGTCACGTCACTAGATGTTAATAACAGTCAATTTCCGTTTCATGTAATAGTATATATAAGAAACATGCCACTTGTCAAACTGAATACGTTGATATATCCCTATGTTATGTCGACTTATACGCTCCAACATAACTATATAGGTATCTACTAGTACCGAATAAAACACTCAAGAGTAAAAAAATCTTTACACGAAATTAATAATCGCATTATTAGTTATATTTAGTTTACATTTCGTAGTTTATATGTTGGATGTAACTATTTCACTAGTTAAATTTTTTTAAAAGGATTTATGATTCTATAGTAGTTCGCCCTCAGCGCGCAATGGCTCAAACTCGGCAGGGTATACGAAATTAATCATATTGCGATTCTTCTAATGCAGTAACTTTAATTTCGTAAGTTACAATATGTAATATTTTGTCACATAAACATTAGATATAATATTTTGGTACTATAATTATATACAATTGTTAGTAGGTATACGATCAAACCTTATATGAAAGGTGTTATTATTAATTCGAATACTTTAGAAAGACTCTTTTAAAACTTATAAGCACAATCCAATATTCAATAATATTGTATATCCATAAATAAAGTTTCTCAAAGCAAATAAGCGTAAACTTGTGAATATATAGAATAATAATATATAGAATAATTACATATATTATATATGTTACTTGCATAGAGTTATAGACTTAAATATGAAGTGTGTTTTCTAACACTTTCTTCTAATACAATATTATTATTTACAAAAAAAAGTAATGTTTTTAAATTTACTCAGAGTATATCCAATTCCAATGTAAAAGTTTTCGTATATATTTTTTCTTTGTAATTTTCATATACAGACTATTATAAAATTTGTGAAAAATAATTGAATATTTGTAAATAGAAAAATATATTATTATTATACTTTTCTGTTTTTTTTTTTGCTTATTCGGGAACAAAGCAATGTGCACGTAGATTTGTATTGAAAGGGAAAATAGCTAATTAAATTCAATAATCATACATATACACATAATTATTACCCCTAAATATTATGTTGCTTTTAACACTTTGACTTCAATTACTTACTCCCATCACCACCACCATGGTTATCACGTTCCATCGGGTGGCTTATTTAACATGAGTTATGTAAAAAATATATTGTACAAGAAAACTGAATTATCGCAATATCTAGCAACTACTTATATTAAAACTTATCTGCCACTACATTATGGAATGCAATAAGAAATAAATAAAAAATAAAATAAAACATAGACAGTATCTAGAGACAGATACATGATTCAAATAAGCTTCTTTCTGCGAATACTTGGCCTCTGGAATAAGCTGTCTCTTGAGGTTTGCTCTAAATATATGTATATGCATGTAGTCGGCCAAATTTTTCTTGCCCTTTTTACTATAATATATATATATATATATATATATATATATATATATATATATATATATATATATATATATATATATATATATATATATATATATATATATATATATATATATAATAATGTAAAGGTAGAATCCATCCTGTAATTATTACCGTGAACATTTATTTCAAATATACCTTCTTATACACAGGTTATTGTTGTTTCCTTACTCACTTTTTTCATTATCCTGATGATAAAAAGTATTACTGTATTACCACATGAATTTTATATCTAAATACATACATTATTAATATATATTATTATCTCCTGATGAATTCCTTATGATGGGCTAACTGGCCTGTTTTTATTCTCATCTATTACCCTTCACTGGTGCTCCGTCAGCTATATATATATATATATATATATATATATATATATATATATATATATATATATATATATATATTATTAGGATATCGTATCGCAATAACCATTTTTTCGATTAGCTGTATAATTATACAGTCACAAAATATCAAATCACGTATACCATGACCGTAAATCTATGTAAATTTAAAATATTACAGAAGTATTTTCATTTCGATAAGTATTTACGTGGTAACCATAGAAATAGGAACCGACCGGTCGACATCAAAGGCAAAAGCCTTTTTGCAACCTTTAGTCAGCATGTTTTTGTATTTAGGAAAATGTGGTATTTTATTTGAATGATTATTTATAAAATATCTGTAATAGTTGCCAGATAGTTGAATATAAATTTTACTACGACATATATATGACAACATAGATGTCACAATAGATGTTTACCTATTGTATGAATATTTATTGTAGCTTGATTATATAATGTAAAACGTATTAAAAATGCAAATAATAATATTTCTATGCGCCTTTTGGCATGTTTTAATAGTGTTTTAATAGTGAATCACCTACTCTTGAATTTTGACTTCTCTTTTAGACTACTATATTGAACGATGCTGACTCCTTGTATGAATAAAAATTACTAAAAACTAATTTTCCTTTAAATAAAACTAGATGAAAGTATCTTCACATAGCATAATAAAATATTTACATAATACAGTAAAAGCATATAGTATATTATTATAAATGTAATTTATAAGTATGTATATTTTCTCATGGGTATCGTAACAGGCGACTAAGGGAACATAATACTCAAGGAATTGGTAGCAGTGTCCCTTTTTAAACATCACCAAAACCTAACTGCGGTTACCAATCTGCCTGTCAAGCGTGGCAACTACTGGCAACTCCCCAATAGGGGAAGGCCTATGTTCAGCACTGGACCGTTAACGACTGCCTGGACTGTTTTTTTTTATACCACTGAGGTGGCAAACAAGCATACGGCCCACCTGATGGCAAGTGGTTACCGTAGCCTATAAACACCTACAATACCAGAGGTATTACGCGTGCATTGCTCTGAAGAAACCTCTTTACCCCCCTTTTCAAGAACCCCATGCTGTAGTCTCTTGGGAAAACCTCGGCAGGGAGCTCATTTCATAACCTGAGTGTAATAATTGTAATAATAATAATGAAATAATTGTAATAATATTTTCATATCATATAAATTTTTAAAACACATTTGTAGGTATATAACTAAGGTAAGTAGAGTAGGTATGATTTCATTTGAATTTACCTTATTCACGATATCACTACATGTTTCCATTCGTATTTAAATTTCTGAGAATTCGGCTGGTATATTATCGACTACGAATATTATCCAATTTGGTTATCTCTGTAGAGTAAGTCCACAATACACAACAATGTCTATATACTATCAGAGCAAACTAATTAACTTATGTACATGCTTAATTCATAGTCTAGGAATGAACAATGAAATTTCAGGACGTCAAGGGAATATTACCCGGTAGTGTACTATGGACGGTCGCTGTTATTAATTTATCATAGTTGAGCTTAAACATGTTTAATTATCTATTAGTTGAAATTTCCTCATTTTGCAACGCAATTAGTCTTCACTTGACCGTTTGAGAAAGTAGGGTAATGCTATTTAGGTTTATAATATGAAAACATATTTGTTCAATCTTAAATTAAACTTGTGTTCGCTGTACATTAAAACTACTATATATATTAAAACAATATAAATACTATTTATTTTATATTATTTTGTAAATGTCACCTTTTACTATAAATAAAATAATTAGTACGTGCGGTAGGTACTAAAAATATGTTAACGACGAAAAATATGTTAATATATGAATTATCAATTATCGTTAATCAGAGAAAATTAACTTACGTTATTTCGTGAGCATTAGAATAAAAAGTTGATATCTACTCTACAGCCTGTTTTTCGGAACAATGATCTAGTCTTTTGTTTGATATAAAATTAATTGATATTATAAAAGAACTATCCATAGTAATTTCCGATATTGACTGGTTAATTTTAAATTTGGTTCCTAATTTAAAAACACAGTCTTCTCTATCTATCTATCAGGCGAATTGCATTCATTATGCGTCAAAAAATTAGTGCAAGAAAATATTAAAAGTATTAAAATGAAGATTTTTTTATACCACGCAGTTGGTAAATAAGAATATATAGCTGTATATATATAACCTGTCTGATAGTAAACGGTCACTGTAACTTATAGACGTCTGTAACATTGGGTATCACGTACGTGTTGCCGACACTGTAGAAACCTTAATATACCTTTTTTAAGAACCCTATTCTGTAGTCTCTAGAGAATACCTCGACAGGGAGCTCATTCCACAACCTGAGTGTTCGCGGGAGAAAACTCCATTGAAACTGCACTGTACGTGACCATTTAGGTTCAAGCGTGTGAGGGTGAAACCCTGACGATGGCGTGCAGTGCGATGAAAAAAAGTAGCTATAGGCATTATTTCAAATAATAAACAAAGTAAAAAAATAATTATAATAGTAGTTATTATATATTTTTTCAAAGAAAAAAAAAAGAAAAAGAAAACAAAGATATAATTAATATTTAAATAAATTCACAACATTTTAAATTATCATCTTTTTGTGATTCAACACCTTAATACTTTTATAAATAGCATATTAATATAGCATTTATTGAATTTGTTATATTGTATAATTAATTACTAATGCTTTTTTTTTAGGATAACACTTGGCAACTGCATGGGCCTGGGAGAGCGACCGTTCAGTTTGCCATGGTGGGTCCAGCTCGTCTGGTACATAATTTTTGCTGTGATGCTTCTGCTCGCAATATTGGGGAACACTTTAGTTATATGGATCGTTATTGGTAAGTGATTGTATATTTTAATAATATTAAAAAAATGCATCAAATTGAATTGGATTCGCGCATAAAGGGTTTCGCTGTAGGATATATGAGAATATTGATAATTGCAAATTTTATGGTTAAAGAAAAGAAGTACATTTAAAGTTTCCTCTTTACCTTCTTATATTTTTCTTTATTCCATTTTTTTTATTTTTACAACAATCAATAACCTATTAGTATTAATTAAATGACATTTATTGTAAAAACTAGCAGTGACATTGGTTTTCAAGACAGATAACCCTTATTTGAAAACAAAAGCTAAAATATATAACTGGATATTGTATTTTTTAGCAAAATATCATATATTCAATTAAGTCAGGAACTCGAAGTTTTACGCAATAAAAAATACGAGTATATAGGTCTCATTACTTGATGTTTTCAAATATGTAACTTTGGCTGTTCGTTAACCATATAAAAAATATATTTTAAAGTACATTTTGTATACGTATTAAACATTTATTTATGATAAATTTATTCATTATATCAAATAATTTATCACATAACTACTAGAAATTATAATGTAATTGGTAATTTAATACTGATAGATTTTCGATATTTTTTTTATACAACTTAGAATGGCAAACAAGCTGACGGCCCACCTGATGGAAAGTGGTAACCGTCGCCTATAGATATGAGCAGTACCATGGACATAACAGAGTATTCTGTTTCGCCCATGATACCACCCAGGCGTTGCCATTCCTGAGGACTTAGATGTTATTCCTCTGATATAAGATTGATGTTGCTTTCAACAGAACAAAAGTGTCCTAATTCTCTTTTGCTAATTACCATCTGTATCGACTCCTATAAAAAGGTAAAGTAACAATAGAATTTCTGTATCCTTTCTTCTTGGTTGTAGATTTATTTATAAGACAAATTTTTCTATCATTTATAAAATAAATCATCGTGCATATATCCTTCGATCTTTCGATTCAGTGTAACGAATGTAGAATACATTTATCTATCTATCCTATTTAAGACCTGCGTTCTTGTTGGTTGAGCTCTTGCTACTCACTACGATTTTCAGGGAATCTCTTCACCTCTTGATACAACACAACATCAACTTTTTCATTGATCTTCCTAATGTAACTATGTCTTGGTCTTCCCCTTACCCTCCTTCCTTCTATCTTACCTTCTATTATAATGTTCATAAGCTCGAGTATCGAATCTAGTATCCTAATATTATTTTCCTTCTAACCTCAATAGTCCTTACAATTTTTTATTTAACCGAAGAGTACATATCCCCCTCTAATCTCTCTAATAAGTATATCAATCTCTATCTAATCTAACAAGTAATCAAGGCTTAAAATGTAATATCCAAAATATACCATATGACCACACTTAGTATTAGTATTAATACTCAATTAGTCTTGTAAATAAACAAAAATATACAGATAAATAATTATTAGCTCTTGTTTGGAATAAGACACTCCAAATCATTATTGACGATTAGAAACGTGACTCTCATTCATAAGTATCTGGTTTGCAAGTAAATATCAACATTGTTTCTGCTAATTGGCATCATTACCAATTTAGAATCGTATAATATGTACAACCTTCCTTATTCTAGGTTTATTTGTTGACCTTTATATATATGGTTAAATTTATTTTCAGTAATGTTCTTTTACAATGGTACACTGTATACAACTCTTCTGGGTAATATTATATGCAAACAAAAGCATGCGTTTATTAAATTTATTTTATGACCTTGACTTTAAATCGAATATAATGAAAATATTATTTATTATATACGTTGTTGTATTTCTGACTGAAAAGATAGCCATTGTGTCTAATATATGAGGCAAATCTAGAGAGTTATTTTAATGAAAGTGACATAACTTTATTTTTTTATTAAACTTAGAATAGCAACAAGTTGACGAAACTATCTGACGGAAAGCGGTAACCGTTGCCTTTAATCATGAACATTAACAGCACCATGGACGTTCCATTGGTGCCACTAAAAATTTATGCATTCTTAACATTGTTACAGGCTTAATCATTTCAGAACTGTTCACTGCAGAACATAAGATAAAGAAAGTTTTGCCAGTTTTTTTTTTTTTTTTTACAACACAGGGGGCAAACGAGCATTTGATTAACTACCGCCGCCCATGATCACCCACAACACCAGCGGCATTGCAGGTGTGCTGCCGGCCTTTTAAAAAGGAATATACTCTTCTTGAAGGTTATGTTGTCGTATCGGTTCGGAAATACTGCTGCTGGAAGTTGATTCCAAAGAATGGTTGTGCGTGGAAGAAAGTGCCTTGAAAAACGCACGGTGGAAGACCGCCACTCGTTGATTAGGATGAAACTTTAATCAGCAGCAGGTATCAATCCGAACTATTCCTCAGAACACTCCCCATGATAAATTCGGTAGAAGCACAGAGATGCAACATCTCTGCGCAGCCTCAGTGGATCAAGTCGGACAGAAGGCGTACTATCGATAATTCGAGCCGCCCGACTTTGAATGCGGTCTAACGGAAGGAGTTGGTACTGTGGCGCTCCTGCCCACAGGTTATTCCATATGCGGCCTGATTGGGCTTTATATAATTTCAGGCGGTGTTCTGGCATGAAATATCGTCTCACCCTATTGAGCACTCCTAACTTCTTGGAAGCTATCTTAACCTTCTCCTCCAGATGACCGCAAAACTGGACGTCGCAAGATATATCAACGCCCAGAATTCCTAGACTCGACTTTTTATCAAGGGAAGTGCCCTGAAAGTGAGGAGATACGACAAACGGCGTTTTTTTTGCGGTAAACGCGCAGACTTGTGTCTTTTTGGGGTTAAATTGGACAAGATTTTGTTCACCCCAGATCGAAACTTGATGGAGTGAAGTTTCGATTTCAGACACAAGTCTATTCCGGCACTCAGAATGACATATAATGTAAGCATTATTACTTATCTGTAACATATCATTGATATGCAGAAGAAACAGAGTCGGAGATAGTACACAGCCTTGCGGGACACCAGCATTCAAAGGTTTTAAATCAGAGCATGCTCCGTCGACTACGACCTTAATGCTACGTTCCTTGAGAAAACTGGCGACCCAAATGCACAGTCTCGCAGGCAACCCAAATGAAGGTAGCTTTGAAAGCAGCGCTCTATGCCACACCCGATCAAAGGCCTTCGCGATATCCAGACTAACTGCTAAGGCCTCTCCCTTACTCTCGATAGCCACTGCCCATCGGTGTGTTAAGTAAGCTAAAAGATCACCGGCCGAACGTCCCTGTCGAAAGCCGTACTGGCGATCACAGATCAGCTGGTGTTCTTCTACTTGACGGTTAATGATGGATTCCATAACCTTCGAGAATAAGGAAGTGATAGCTATGGGCCTATAGTTAGCTGGATCTGAGCTCCCTTTTTAATGCACCAGAGCAGTCTTCCAAAACTTTAGGACTATGCCCGATGAGTAGCTAAGCCGAAAAAGACGCGTAAGAACCGGAGCCAACTCTGGAGCGCACGTCCTAAGCACAATTGGAGGAATACCATCACGAGGGAGAAAAGTGCTCTACGCACTGAGCTATGCGTGAATTTAATGTCAGGCATAGAGCTCCTACAACACGTGATGGTCGGTGGTGATTTCTCCCCGTCATCCAATGTCGAGTTTAACGCAAAGATGGATCCAAGAAGATCGGCCTTTTCCTTAGCGTTCTGGGCCAACGAGTCATCCTCCCTGCGCAATGGTGGAAAAGATGACTTACAGAAATTCCCTTGTGCAGCTTTGGCAAGAGACCAGAAAGCTCGAGTTCCAGAGGGCAAACTAGCCAATCTCTTGCCAATTCTACTAATATGCTCTGACTTCGCTGTGGCTATAACTCTTTTGAAAGACCTAGAGGCAGAGTTATACTTCTTTTTAAGAGCACTGGTGTTAGGATCTTTTAGCCCAGGTTAGGAAGCACTCCTGTTTCAGACGAGATGCTGTTCTACAAGAGGCTCCATACCAGGGCTGGGATTTCCCGCCGACGGGCACCACAGAGTTAGGAAGTTGCCAGACTTGACAAGCCGGTTGGCCACTGCAGATAGGCTTTTAGTGATGTTTTAACAGGGAAATTCTGCTAATCCCTCGACTATTAAGTTCCGTTAGTTGCTTCTTACGACACCCACGGGAAAGGAAGGGGTGGTCTATTCTATGCCGGGACCACAATAGTTAAAACATTTCTATATAATGTGCTTTTAAGAACTATTGTACCAAAGTAAGACTTTATACAAAAAGCATGGGTACTTTTATTTCACTTGTGTTTCTGCCGTGAAACCGTTGTGCTTGCGGGACTATATTTTGGTTTGTAGAGTGAGATATAGCAATGAAATTACAGAATATAGAGATATAATATCATAGTTTTAAAGAATAGTAACACGGGAATGCTGTCTTTGATATCATAGTGTATTCTGCAATGTCCATAGTTGACGTGCTGATCACGTCTGTAAACGATAGTTACCACCTACAATCAGGTGGGCCGACAATTTTTTTGGCATTTTATCTATCATAAAAACATTATTAAGGTATTTGCTATTCCAAATAATATAAAATATAGTCTTTAAAGTGACAGGTAGTGCATAAATAGTCATATAACCTGAGCTGCAAGCAGAGCATAGTGTCACGATTCTCATAAAAATAAACGGTTCAAACATCATCGAAGTTGAGAAGTCGTTCGATCGAAATTCTATCTAAAGCCCAGAAGACTTACTTATTCAATATCTTTGATCCGAAGATTCTACTGACTTATATTACTTATAGACTCTTCAAGCGAGATATACAAAAAAAGTTTGCAGGTATTTGCCTCTTTATTGTGCTAAGTTTTAATCTTAGGTTTTATTATATACTCGTATTATACAAAATTTAATGTGTTCATCTCATATTAATTTTGCAATGCTAGAAATCACTATTTTATTAAAAAAAAATCTTATTGAAACAATTGATAAGCAAAATCTTAGCTTTTTTTTTAATAAAATCTGAATTATTTTTGATAAAATGAATTTTTTTCTCTAGCTCATCGCCGTATGCGGACTGTTACCAACTGCTTCTTAGTCAACCTGGCAGTAGCTGATTTGCTTATGGCAACTCTGAACGGGGCTCCAAATTTCGTGTTCCTGGTTACTGCGAACTGGCCATTTGGATCAGCGACATGTACGGCTAGTAATTTTACGGCCAACCTCACCGTCTCTGCGGGAGTATTCACTCTAGTCGCCATAACTGTAGACAGGTATATTTTTCTATATATATATATTTTTACATATAAATAATGTTTTAGAATTTCTTTACGAATATTAAATTGAACTTGGTACTCTAGTGATTTAACACACCGCTTACCTTCTGATGGTTGCGGCTTCTTTCTCCGCACAATACGAACATTTTATTTATAGGTATATCTGTTTGTATTGTTCTAAGTATCTTTTTAATATCTTAGGCATATATTTACAAAAAAAAAGTATTTAAGTATGATTATACTTTTCTAGTATTTACCAATAATACAACTTTTGTTTAATTTGGGACTAAATGTTGCTATGAAATGTGTCCCGTAGTATTTATTATCATTAATTATGAAAAATAATTGGATATTTGAATCTAATTTGTAGTGTATGAATAGACATGATGTTTTATCTAAAATAAATATTCTTGATTCCTCTTTCAATCCGGTGAAGTGAATTTTTATAAATTATTGGATCTTCACTTGAACTCAATTTACCTTAAAGACTAGACAATTGTTGTATTTGTATCAGAAAAAAAATACTGAATTCTAATTCAAGTATTTTATCTATATTTTAACTTAATGCTTTTAATAAATCTTGTCATTTTTATAAATTATTTCAATAAAAACCAATTACATTTAGGTAAATTATATTTGATTAGGTATTGTATCTGGTTCTTTAAACATTTGCGAAATATAAACAGATATTAAAATTTGAGATTCCAAATTGAATAATTCAGCACTGCTAAACCAAAGTCGCAGGGATTTGTCCTTAATTTTTAATTTTTCATGTTGATATTCAATATTCAATCTCAAAAGGAGTTAGAGAGGTTTATTAAAAGAAAAAAATATTTGTTAAAAATAAAACTCAATGAATACCATGGGAACTTAGGCGTATTGTATAACATCTAATTGCTATTTATGTCTATAGGCGATGGTTATATTTTTCGCCAGTCACGAAGGCAGTTTGTTTGTTCTTCCAAGTTATATTAAAAAGTTATTTCTGGTTTATAACATTGGTTAAGCTACTAACATGCTCTTTCTCTTAACTAATATGTCTTATGTCTGATATTTTTTTTAATATCGGATACCTTATAACTAAGTACACTGTTCGAGATACGCACTGGAGTCTTCAAAATATGACTGTAAACTCATAAAAATAAACCTCATTGTTTTCTTAAAAAAAACATTAATGATTTGTTACATTTTATCCGCTCTGCAATATATTCTCTCGCCATTTTTATGAAAACCCTATTTTTTTAATATACTTTTATGCAAATTTAGTGAAGATACCGCCATATATATTCAAATTATTATTTGAAGTGTATAAGAACTGTCATGTATTCTTTTTTTACAACTTCCATAAGAGACTGTCTCTATATTGTATAGCCTACAGCCAGCCGCCTTCATCAGTTTGATTCTGGTGTGTGTGCAGTTTTTTTTTTTAAAATACTCTTTATTAGATTACAGGTCAGTGGGTACCGTTTGTATTTGTTGTCTTGTTGTCAAGAGATTATGTAAGTTTGTGAGAGAGTTGCCTGTAGAATTGGAAAAGTTTCCGCTTAAATTGACTTCAAACATTATGTAATGAAATAACGGATAACCGTAGATTATATAGTTATAGATAGAGCATCGATTTTCAAAAACAGGTCAACTTTTTTTCAGCTAATTTGACATGCAGTTGACTCGTTTTTTTATCAGTGTTGTATATACTTACGCACATATTTTGTCGTAAGTATCTATATTTAATTATTTTATAAATAAAATAAGTTTTTACGCATTAAAAAGATGAAGAAATTATAAGACAAAATAAATATAGAAGTTATAAAGGGATACCTCATAACTATGTATCACGCAAAATTGTATGAAAAAGTTGACCCGACTCGCTTTTCTTGAATTTATATGCATTTCTATGGATACAATCTATCTATATAATCTAAGCAGATAACATGGGTCGTCACTGTTGACATAAAAAGAAAATACTGAATAAACAAAATTTTTAGAAGTAGAAATTATGATTTAAATTTAATGTAATTTTAAGACACAAATTGTAAAGATAAATATGACTAAAGACAAGAATTTAACATTTTTGTCTCATATTAAAACTTACTAACCAGCCTAGCCTATCGATTGCAAAAATAATATCAAAATCAATGAAAATTTACAAACAATTGAGAATCTGCTCCTTCTTGGAAACGATTGATTAAAAAGCATATCTATATATATAATGAAAAATTAATAAATATATATTTGTCAAGTTATTTAATAAATAAATATATCCATGTGCAATGCTTCTACTGCAAGATTGGCATGGTTTTATTAATATCCGTGCTTCTACTTTCTACTATGAAAATGTAGTTAGTTTAGTCAATGTTGTCAATTCATAATTAGATAGCTATAGGAAGAGCTCGTAGAAATTGATTTATTATCTTTGCGAAAGCGAGTACCATACCTTTTATTACTATTATGTTAGGTAAATTGTATTTTAATACGAGTGTATTCTTATCGAGCTATCAATATAATAAATATCGTTATGTGTAGGTAGATAGACAGAGAGATAAATAATTTATTTGCATCACTTACCGCACACAAACAGTAACATACACAAATGCAAAGTGAATAAAGATAAAAAAAGATACATGTACAAAAAAAAATTATTGGTAAAGATATTGATTTTTATTTTTCATATTCAAGTCTTACCTCGATATATATTATCAGATATAACGCCAGTGTGTTTTATTTAATACATTAAGTTGATTTCGATATAATAGATTTATACAGTTAATATAATTTAATTGGATATAAATGAATAATAAAGAAAAAATATCTTTAATGCAGAATTAAAAAAAAAATTCAAAGTTTTCAGCTTAATTCAGTCACGTTTAAATGATTGGATGGATTTGAATGATATTTGTTACACAAACAGATTGTTATATAAATCTTGATTAATACTTTTAAATTTCATAACAACAAAGGCATGGATTAAAGCATCGTTCACAATACCGGAATATATTGATTGATCAGGATGAAAAGTAGTCTATGTCTTTTTCCATCTGAAATATTACATCTATATTATATTTTATAATAACTGTTTTAGTCGTTAAGGCATCAAGAAATAAAATATTATCTTTAGCATTTCAAGTACAAATATAAATAGGTGTAAATAAATTTAATTACCACAACCTGCTAAAACTTTCATTATCTACACAACTTAGATGAAAAGTTTCAATATAAATTCACTTAAACAAAAAGGGAGAGGATTAAGAATTTAAATTAACTTGTTCATTTCAGTGATTCTAGTTTAATTTTACAAATTTTAATTATAATATTTTAGATAAAAACATATTGTATTTATTATAGTCTGTCAGACTTTTGAATTAGATAAGTAGACTGTAATTGCCATTGTGATAAACTGAAACCAATTCTTATTTTGTTTTGTACAATTATCAAAAATTTTATATAAAATATTTAATAAGTAACAATGGCTTCAATGTTGTCTCTGTACATTATCCAATTTATGGTAATATTTATATGTATTTCCAGGTAAACGTTTACATTATCTGAAGAAAATAATTTGTTTTGATAGAACCAATTTATGTATATATTAAATTGTTCGTATACAGTTTCATTAATTTATTTGTAAGAAAATTCAATAAATTGTTTGATGAATGAATGAATGAATCTCTAAACTATTACATAATTAATTATGAACATTTGTTGACAATTTACTTCGACATATATTAGATCGCAATCAAGGGAACTGCAATATTATATTTTACAATATTATACTTTTAAATATCGTATGCATATTTTTATAAATTGTGAGCAACTCGTTATATCCATAACTTCGTCTTTCAAATAAAAAGCAGTATACTGTCTAATATTATGAAGGCCAAATACCATATGTATTTTAAATATTAAGATTATTGCTCGAACCAATAAGATATCGAGAAACAATGAACAAACAAACTCGTATATTTATATTCTTACGAATAAAAATAATAACACCGCGCCGACGTGCATACATTAGATGAATTATAATAAAAGAGAACAAAACAAGACCTTCACGTGAGGATAAAAGGTCATTGACGCTTTATTCTCCCTACTTATATTATAAATGGCATAAATACCTATACCGACCTATTTATGGGTGAAAAAAATAAGAAATATTAAAGCTTTAACTCACCTTCGTTAAATAGATGCCTTCGTGTGGTTCCACACTTCAAAGGCTGGTACAAGATGCAGCTAATGGTTGCGTATGCTTTCAGCGATTCTGCTTTAAATATATACTTATGTTTGGTAGCACAAGCGAAAACAATTTGAAAGTTCAGTGATTTTAACGTAAAGCAATTATATAATATACAATTACATACTCTCAGCGATCTGTGAAAGAGTTTAGATAGATAGATAGATATATTGTTTCCTCCAAAAGATTACAATAGTAAACTTATTATAAATACAAACAATTCCAAGAAATAATCACAGTGAGAAAACAATGGGCGAATAGATAAAGAGAATAATAGATAAAAAATAGATAAAGAAATAGATATTGTGAGCTAATAACAAAATAAATTAAATACGTACTCGTATTCTATATAAATAGGCTATAATCAGTAGATATACTTCAAGTACATATATCTACTGATAAACTAGAAAAATAATGGACATAAAAGACAGTTTGAAAGAATAACCTAACATAAATCATCAAGAAAGAAAGTCAGGATTCTGTGCCTGTATATTTGTTGATTTACGGACCTGTTACAGGGATATATATGACTCGATACCGTCTCATAAGGCTATTTATGGGGAAGGTTTATGCTCTACCTGCAAGTTTAGAGGCAATAATGATGGAATGATGCTTATAATTTTATAAGATAGGATATCAGAATGTTTAAATATAATAACTAAAACAGTTATATAATATGCCATATATTCATTTTACAGTATTACATGTACCAACTGTAACTGATATTTTATCTTCATGAATTATGATGAAGGCCCATCTATATATTACATTTTATTCAAATTATCCGTTTTTAAAGGTAATTAAGTAACAAATATCGAATAATTTATAAACTTGTACATTATAACAATAATAAGTAGGATCTACCTTTCAAATGTACCAAAATGTTACATGGTCTTTAGTTATGCATTGGTATGCAAATAACTTTATACCTTAACGGGACTTTCTAAGATTTATGTTCTCGTTACTGGTTTGTATTTAGTTAAAATATACAATTGCTATCAAGGACAGTGATTTGATTTATTGATTTCAGATCATAAGATTATTTCATATTACTATTCGATCTACTTCGTGACTGTAGCGATTTAATAAAAAGGTGCCTTTGAAGTAGTCTGTATTAAAAGAAATCTATATAGAAATTATATTTTATTACATAGAGACGCGACACGCATCATAAAATATTTCAAAGCTGAACCATAAGAATGCTATAAATCTATTCCTATAATAGTGTTATGGATAACTTGTATATTTTATGTATTTGTCTGGACGTTATAAACCTAAACTAACCTAGGTAATTACACAATATTATGAATAATAAGTAATTCTTTAGGGTCTCAGGAAAAATACTATTGTTATCTAACCAATTTTTCATATACATGTCAAGTACAATATTTCTAGTAAACAAATTACAAGCATGTAACTAATAAAGACATTTTCAATCCATTACAGAGCCAATCTTATGACTGACAAACCTATATATCAACGCACAGCCGAAGACACCGAATGTAGACTCTTGACATTTTGCAAATGGATTCATTATATAGCGGAAGTGAAGTGTTTCTACCGTGAAGCAGTTGTGTTTGCATGGCTGTGTTTCGGTTTGAAGGGTAGGATATGGCGTGAATTTATAGGGTACAGAGGAATAACAACTGAGTCCTCAGGAATGGCAACGCATGGGGTGTATCATGGGCGAAACAGTATAATTTGTTATGTCAATGGTACTGCTCATATCTATAGGCAACGGTTACCACTTTACATCAGGTGGGCCGTCAGCTTGTTTGCCATTCCAAGTTGTATAAAAACAAATAAAAAAAAAGTGAGCAATTTTGATGTTAGACGTGTGAAATTTTATAGAATAACAAATCGAATGCCACATGCGAAGGAAAAATGGAAAAGTGGCGAGCAAAAGTATAATGTAATCCTTCTGGTAAAAAAACCGCTACTTTTCTCATAACAAAATTAGATCGCTAATATAAAATATAATATGACGGTAAAATTTAAAATTCTGTACACTTTACTAAAAATATCTACTGTTAAGTGACTTAAAAAGGATATTTTCAATTCGTCTGTATATTTCTTGTGTATTCGAGAGATACGCGATATTTTAGCCATCCACAAAGGGGTGATGTTAATTATGTTTGTAATCAAAAGTATTTCGGGGAAAAAATTGTTAATAATGATGACCATTGATAATAGGTTCCATCAGGTGAACAGTCATGCGTGTCTCTCTTGGGAACTATCATTGGTTATGTCATATAAAATTAGGTTTACTTTTTTATTATTTTTTTTATGCAAATTAGAATGACAAACAAGCTGATGGCCCACCTGATGGAAAGTGGTAGTGAACCTTCGCCGATTGACATGAGCATAACAGAGTATACTGTTTCACCCACGCGTTGCTCTTCGTGAGGACTCAGGTGTTATTTATTCCTCTGCACCCTGTAAATTCACTGCTATATCCCACCCTTCTAACCGAAACGCAGCCTTACAAACACAACTGCTTCACGGTAGAAACACGAATGGGATAGAGGTGGCCAAGCAAACTACTTTTGTACAAAGTCTCCCTCTGGTAAATTATGAAAAAGTAGTAGGGTATAAAAAGAGATCAGTTTTCCTATGTAAACTGACCTCTTTTCATCCTCATCTATCATTTTTCCTGTCAGCTTATACTGATGGCGGGGTTACCATTCAATTATCATCCATTTAAAAAAGTGTTATGCTCTCGTGCGATAAAATAAAAAAAAAACATAACCATAATTTTGTTATGTTATGTCACTCATAATAAAATTGCGGTCGTTGTGGTCACTTATTTTCTGGAGCATAATATAAATTTATCATTATTATATTAACTGCTTATTATGTACCTACTACGTGTACGTGCCCCTTAGCACAAATAATATAATACTATACTAGTAGTTATACTAATCATGACTTACATTGTCATAATTTTATATCAATATTATTTTTCTTAGCTATTTTTTGTAGTTATTTAATAATCCTGGTTATATAAAAGACAGTAAATGTATGGTATATATATTCAACAATGTGATATCAGTTTTGGAATCGACGTTTGAATACGAATTTTACTCCTAAACATGGAGCTCCTGTTTTCATACCCGGCCTGTGGGTAAATATTTTGACGGGAGAATAAATATTATCGATTCTTCAATGTGGTGTTTGTTAACATGGTTACGCAGTAGGCACTGGCAAATTCTAGTGTGAATTATTTCGCATGATATTTTAACATGAACCTGAAGACTGGTAGGTAATATTACTAGACAGTTGAATTTCTATGAACTGTCATTAAATTTTAATGCAATTTTTCTCAATTATGTTATAAAATATTAAATATACTTCAAATTATATCTATTTCAAATTATACTATTATAACTAGCTGGGGCCTTGAATTTGCTTGCGAGCAGTTAAAATTATCTTAATTAAATTACGTAAGAAAATTAATTTAGTTATTAAATTTTAATATATTTGTCATCTTTTAGTTTTTAATAATCGCAACTTCCAAAAGAGACGTTCTCGTTTCGTTTGAATTTTTTATCTGCGATATTTTGATTACATTATCAAATTTAACCTTTTTAAATTTGAGGTAAATGTTGCTTATTTATGTATTCTTTATTGATGACATTACGAAGAAGTTCACTACTAAAGATAGATCTAATGCTAAATGCATTCTCTCTCAGCTAATGTTTGGAAAAACAGAAATGTAATCATGCGTTAAAAAGTATTAAAAATTGTTATGGGTAAATAGTTATAGTTAGTTGTTGTAATTATTTTTTGCAATCGGCAGTTTACTCCTGTGTTAGTCTAGTATTTATTTTGTGATAGTTGAAACTATCATTTGCGGCTTTGCGAATTAAAAATTGGTTTGTGTACGAATTTCATTAACATGTAAATCATCTTATAGATACACGATTTCCCGTTCTAAACATTTCGTATTTCATCAGTTTGATTTCATTACTGAAGTCGCTGTTTGTAAAAATGTACTTGTTTATAATACGAGTGTTAACAAAGAACTTACCGTTCTACAAGAATTCATACAATGAGGGAGGGATCAAGGTATAATTAACGATTCGCTCGACTGATTTTGGTAATACATAGGTATGGATACATATATGAAGTATCAATTGTGTGCTTAGGACTGCAAGATGTACCGCAGTCAATAATATTTACATAATGCTTACATCTACGTCCTCTAATAGGAGAATTAATTGTAACAAGAATCATATTACGATGTCCATTCACTCTAATCTCCAAAACTGGTCAACCGATTTTAATGAAATTATATATTTATTGCTTGCTCTAATTTAGAGAGATAGCTTAATTTATAGTTTTTATCGCAATAAAAATTTTAGACTGACAAAAGAAATCTCAAATTGCTAATCCTCTCAACATCTAGTGACATTTTGTTATTAAGGCGCAAAGTGGTAACAAACAAATAAACCAACTCTCTTATATATTTATAATTAGTAAGGATCGCTAGTTTATGAATAACAGGTATTTAAAAAAATCTTATTTTACAGGTATGTGGCGATAGTGAAACCGCTGCATCATAGGCTGAGTCGGAAGGTGGCTCGAGCGGCTCTAGTCACAGTTTGGTGTTTAAGCGCATTACTCGCTCTGCCCAATTTGCTGTATTCCGATACATACAGAAAGCAGTGAGTATACGTTTATAATGTTTTTTTTTTTTTAATAAGTGGCAAATTAGCATACGAATCACTTGATGATCAGTGATCACCGCAGCCCATAGATATTAAGAACACCAGAGTAATTGCCTAAGCGTTGCCGCTCATTTAAAAATGTATTTATTTTCTTAAAAATCTCTGAACTGAAATATCACTGCAAGTAGTTTATTCAGCATTAGACAACAAAATAATACTTAAATGCAAGTATTATAATATGCTTTGCAGTAGATAGTTACGGCTGACACGATGATGATGAAGTATTATAATAATTACTTTTTACCTATGTCATAAGAATTAATAAAAAAGGAAGGCCTGGGCCTGGCTCAGTAAGTGTTTCAGAGTGATTGAGTAATAAACATCCAAACAGCCTTACAAACTTTCACATTTATAGTATTGGTATCCTATATATCCTTGGTTATAAACTGTAGAGGAACATACATTTATCACCGCGATAAATTTTATATGTTAACGGAACATCTTAAGGGAAGGAACGACTAAAGAAATGGTTACTTGTGTAGCAGGATAAAAGGATGAACTGTAGAAAATATGGTAGAGGTAAAAAAAGTGAATAGAGTTATGATGACTAAAAGATATCAATTTAAAAGGAAAACATGTTATACCGACCCATGATAATATGATAGGTGAAAAGTGAATGAATGAAAACTCTTTATTGTACCCTTCAAAGAAAGATACAAAGTGATGATGCATAATTTTTTATTATTTGGTTAAATCGAGGAGATCCATCCATCTATTCGTGATATAAATTCCTTTTAAATTCATTTAGAATATGTGGAATACGGTAGGTACTTTCCATCTGCTACCTACGTAAATTATTTCATTACATGAAAACACCCTAGATGATTTCTATAAATACTTCCAACGGGATTTTAGAAAATTATATGACACTTGATTTTACCACAAGTTGAAATTAGCTTTATAGAGAAAATATTTGCGTATTTTTAAGGCTTTCTTCTGAATTAATATTCTATTACTACCTAATTAAATTTTCGATGTTGACCTTCGTTTAACTTGTAAAATTAAACTATAATTAAATCTACTATTATTAAGACAGCCCTCTGGAACTCAAGGTTCATTTAAAATTTTCTTTTATATTAAGTTGAAGCTCATAAATGTGTAGCTGTACGTAAAAATGTTCTGTTGATATATTTAACTTACACGTTTTCGAGATTATTTGTTTCACTAATTGTATTATTTAAATGGATTTTTAATTAATATACAATATCATATTCTTTTCCATGGGTGTCGTAAGAAGCGACTAAACATCTCTAAAACTCTAATTGCGGTTGTCAACCCGCCTGCCAAACGTGGCAACTACTAACAAATCTCCCCTTATGGGGAAGGCTTATGTTCAGAAGTGGATAGTTAACTGCTGGTATGATGATGATCATATTATATTAAACTGTAGTGATTATTTATAAATATCAAATAAAAAAAAAAAGTAAATACGTATAATTGCTTTAATTGACAACTGAGACGCCTCACAACTTTGTTTAAATGCAAAGGATTTTCATATTAATTAACACCTGGGATGAGCTTGTTAAAAGTTCAAACGTTTTTGCTACTTAAACATAAAAAATTCTAAGTTGTAATTATTTATGTTGGCTTTACTCACGTTTTATTCTATTTGAAACTAGTCACTACGGTATTAACTGTTAACTCTCCATTTCTAAATATAGGCCGTTGCCATAAGGAGGGTTTTGCCAATAATTACTACGCTTGGCAGCCGGGTTGGCAGCCGCAGTTAGGCTTTGGTGAGGGACGCTGCTGCCCATCCCTTGACTATTGAGTTCCCTTAGTCACCTTTCGACACCCTCGGAAAAGTAAGGGGTGGGCTATTCTATATCGGAACCACACGGCGATCGAATTCCAATACAGTATGACTTACGATAGTTATTATTCAACAATGTTAAAGTTTTTCAAAACTGTGTAAACTTGAGACACGCAATGAAAATGTAAGCCTAATTGAAATTGATTATTTAATAATACTATAATTTTAATTTATAGACTAGAATACTAGACCCATAATGGTCTTCTATACACTCTTATTGTAAATACAGAGGAATAAAAAAATTAATCCAACATAATTATGTATATATTACTTTACTTTTACTGACGCATCGCTAGCTTAATAAATAAGTTTTAGATAGACATGCTACTTATAGATTATAAAGTAAAAAAATACAATTTAAAAGAGTTTGAAATAAATTTTATTTGAATAAAGACTATTTAATTATATATTCTATTCTAAATGTGAAAATTTGTAAAAATATTTGAATGTATAAAAGTTTCTTACTCAATCACTAGATTTAATTGAAGTGTGATAATCAGACTAACAATTTAACTTCCACTTTCTACCCTTTAATCCTAAAATGAATTCATAATATACAAAAGACAACAAAAGCTTTATAGATTACAGTTTCTATTTCAGGGTGAACGAATCGAATACAAATTGTTTCTACTAATTTCGTTTCAACTTTGAAGTCAAATTCAATAGTGCGCAGTTCCATATACGAATGATATTGACATTATTCTTTTATTTTGTGATATTTTTGCTACAATTTCTACTCTAAACGTGAAAATGTGTCAATTCTAAAAGCGATCGATAGTATATTTACTAACCATCTATTGATTACTATTGCGACTAATGAACTTATTTTAGGAAGAAGGAGAATTCCAAATAAAATTCTGTATGTTCTAAAAATTCCGAAGTCTTCTAATTATATGACGAGAAACTTATACTCAGTAATAGGTCATGTCATGGTTGAAAGATGAGGATGATAAAAAAAAATGGTGACTGGATAATTGCACATTTATATAAATACTTACGGCCCGTTCCGGCGTCGTACGGGTGGACATTTTTAACATTTCCCTTCACTGCTCTGCTCCTATTGATCGTAGCGTGATAAAAAGTATACTATAATCTGTCCAGGAGTATGAAAAATAATTGTACCAAGTTTCGTTGAAATTCGTCGAGTAGTTTTTGTTTCTATAACGAACATACAGACAGTCAGACAAAAATTTTACTGATTGCATTTTTGGCATCAGTATCGATCACTAATCGATACTGATGCCCCCTGATAGTTACTGTAGAATCGTCATGTACAGAATTGACCTCTACAGATTTATTATAAGTATAGATTCATAATCGGTGTAACAGCAGCCTAAAACAAATTCTAAATTTTGCTCTTTTCTTTGTTATAGGTACATAAATGGTGAAAGAGAAATATGTTTCATAAGATGGCCTGATGGGAGCTACCCAACATCTAAAACAGACTATTGGTAAGGTAATATAGAAGGTAATGTAACTTACAGATAGCTCGCTGTTTGTTATATTTATGAAATTATGAGCTATAACCCTTAATAGAAAAATTAATGTGCAATGTACACCTATGTTTATATCAGTCTATATTTTTTTATGTTTCCTATATGCTTTTTATAAAGTATTCCTAAATGATTGTGCACTGTAAAGTTTCAGAGGAAATTGGTCTAGCTAATGCACTGGTATGCAATCTTACGTTGCAAGCATCCATCAACCTCAATTTATGATTGTTTTTCACCTTTACGAAATATTTTTATTATAGATAGTTCTATAGAGGAAACTGATTACATATAATATCATTGTAACTCCATTTTTTGTTATAACTTTTTATTTTATTTTTAAATTTAGTACTTATACTCATATAGACTTTAGACAATAGTACTTATTGTCTAAAGTCTATATGAGGATGTATTATAAAGACTATCATTCATAGTACCAGTCAATACCAATATCAATATTGATGGAATAGTTATTACAAACCTTTATAATAGATTTGCTGCAAGATCGTATCTTACTATCAAATATTCGTGGTTAAGTTTGACCTTAATTCCTGTTATTTATGTTTTACTACGTAGTTTAGTTCAAAATTCTCGATTAATTAGTACAGAAGTTTAAATACATTTAGCTCAGTGCAAAGGAAAGTTTTAGGCAATGTGCGTAGTTTAGGAATATTCAACTATTATATTTGCATTGATCTTAATATGAATATTCATTACTCGAACATAAAGCGATATTGGACTATACCTGCATGGAAATATGTAGATAAAAATAATTGTCACTCTCAATATACATATATGAAAGTATGTCATATTCTATATCACTTAAATTATTTTGACTGCAAAACTATATCTTATTGATTCATAATATAATTTTTCATGCACTGGTATATTTCATATTTATGATGTAAAGAAATTGTAGAACATTATTATAAAAGTTAAATTATATAAATTCTAGTTTTTAATTATGTATATATTAATTTTAATAATCTTATTGTATATAATTATCTATATATTAATTTATCGTTATCATTTAAACATATTATTATGCATATTTATTTATAAAAATACGTATTATCAAAAATATATTCTTTATTGACCATTTATTTGAAGTGAATGATGAAAATAAATTACCGAAGGTCTGAGAAAGTCTATTGTAAAAAACGGGCATTCCTCAAGGCTCAATTCTGGATCCATTTATCTTTTTAATTGACGTAAACTGTGTAAGGAAGGTCCCTTACACAGATAAAATGATAGTACTGACGATATTTTACTGTTGAATCTTTGATAAAGTTTAGATTTAGCCATTCAATTAGAGATTCTTAGATACATAATAAATATACTAACTTTACATTAAATTCTTTGTTTAAAAACTATAAACAAGTAAGGAAATATATATCGTTCAAGTTTTATTTAGCATTTCCATTAGTAATACTGAGTATAGATATGTTTTTAACGGTTGATAAAAATTCTTGATAATTTCCAATTCATATTTAACTAAACATTCCTAGCAACTTTACACACATTGTGATTTTATGATTACCTATCGTGATTTCCATCTAAAATTATTTGTAATTTTGAATCTTACTTACACAATAAAATTGTAAGTAGACGATGTTTGCACATGAGAGATATTCAAGAAAAAAAAATTATGAGGGTTCTTAATAAGATCAGTAGATATTATCAAAAAGCCTGATATAATAAATTTTAGAAATTTGTTTATCTATTTATCTGTTTGTCTATATAGTTATTACGACATTATGCAAAACTACTGAACTAAACTGAATGTAGTTTTCCCTGATGTACTTACAATAATACAGATAGACAGACAGATAAAACATAAGCTTGTGTTAACTGACATATATTTTATTTTGATACGCCACTTAAAAGTTGTCTATTTTATTAGCTTTCCTACTTCTGAAATGCAGGTGTACAAAATATTGAGCAAAATAATTTTATAAATAATTTAATTAACTAATATTTAATAAATAGAAAGACTGTCAATGAGACCAAATAAATAGTAATAATAATTAAAACACAAGTAGGCAATTGTTTATATACTTACCCGTTACTCAAGTTAGGGTACTTCATTCTATTAGAAACTAAATAAATAATACACATATGTAAGCACATCCCGGAAAACCCGACCCATAAGAATAATAGTCTATCAATATCACTTCGCAGATTCGATTCTATTTAGAAAAGTTCATTTCCTAAATTGACACGATCCAAAATTGAAACTCAGACTTTATTTATTGGAAGTAACGGCAGTCGGCACGACTACTGCCTTATGGAAAATGTGTAAGGGTAGGTTCTATATAAAGTCATAGCTGGATCAATTTATCAAGTTATGTTGCTCTTTTAGAATCGTTATACAACATTTTGTAGAGCATTTGTAATAGACTAATTGCATCCACTATGTTTAAGATACTAAACTAATTTGATCCCGTATTCGTATGTATAATTTTGAGTAACTATTTTATTACTTCTGTTTTACTTTTTTGTTTATTTTTTATTAATGAAACTCCGATTTTTCTAGTAACGGCATGAGTATATGTATTCTAATTGTTGATATATGAGTATATTTTTGTTACAGAACTTTTAGTCAAAGAAATATATAAATTATTATGGTTTTTAATTTCTTTTCGTGTTACAAAATAAGATAATTAAAAATTTAGGATTATAATTTTAATTGTAAGAGGAACTAGATTGAATTACGTATATCTTTGTCGGGAGTGAAGTCGAATAGTTTAAAGACCACCTGGGTCACGCGATCATAAATGACTTTGACACAGGCACAAACTTGGCTGACAGTAATTTGTAAATTCATTGTATGTTTGTATCTTCATTACTAAATGATGCTATAATGGTTGAACGGATCTGAATAAAATTGGTAAATGGATATGTTGTTATACCTAACTAAATACATAAGATACTTTATATATTAATACAAAGTTAGTTAAAATGTACACAGTTACAGTTATTCAATGAATTTACTTCTTTGCAGCTACAACCTCGTATTCCTGGCTGTGACGTACGTCGTTCCCATGTCGGTGATGGTGTGGGCGTACGCTCGGATGAGTGCGGCACTGAGGGGGCGGGCGATCGGCGAATGCACTCACCACCAGATGCAAGTGGTCAGAGCTAAGAGAAAGGTGTGTAAAAATATAACGTTGTGTAATAACAAATAAAATGAGAAAAGTTATGGAAATATTTGTATACTTTCATCACTTAGATAATTAAACAGGTGCCGAACATAGTACTATGTGACCTATGTTAATAATTTGAAAACTATTTAATGCAAATAAACTCATTTTATTTCATGAAAGATACATAGCACTGAAAATAATCGCATTTTTTATTGTACTAATTAAAAGATATTATTATTTTTTAAATTATAATAGCACAAAAGATAGGCGAAGATAAATTACTACCACTAGTTACTACTAGCTCTAATTTTGTTGTCATGACAGGTATTTATTGTATTTACTCGTATTAATTGGCCAGGGTAAAGGTATTACCCTCGTTATACATTGATTTTTTATGCCAAATATTACATACCTGCTGTGATAAAATATAAAAATGCAATGACTATTAATTTTGACTTGAGCTCTTCTAGTTGTAATTTTTTTATAAAGAAAAATTAAAATTGTGTTATTACAAGAAATAATATTGTATAAATTTTAAAGAAAATTATATTACACTATTTCAATGAGTAAAGACAATGGGGTTTAGATATGTTTGGAGAACAGTAAACTACAAAACGCAATTTGAGAATTGTGAAGTCAATATATCCGACGACCCTTCCTATTTAAACAAACCTAAAATGGTTTATTAGTTAAAACATTAATTAAACAACTATCTATCTATCTATCTATCTATTCATTGTTACTGGTACAGGTCAGGTAGTTAAATTAGTTTATGGTTACCATGGCAATAAATTTACAACTTTGTAGTTTTATATACTTCAGTGAAATTTTAATATTTAATAAAAGCCATAAAAAGTAAGATTATTACAAGACTGAAAGTAAAATTGGCTATTAATAAATAAATGGCGTAGCATACATAAAAAATATACATTCTTTTGAACTCTGCTTAAAAATTGAATTACTTCTATGAGATTATATAACGAAAGGTACTAAATTATAATATTATATATGGTATATATATTTTTTTTATACAACTTAGAATGGCAAACAAGCAGATGGTCTACCTGATGGAAAGTGGTGACTGTCGCCTATAGACATGAGCAGTACCACGGACATAACAGAGTATACTGTTTCGTCCATGATACCTCCCATGCATTGCCATTCCTGAGGACTCAGGTGTTATTCCTCTGTACCCTGTAAATTCACTGCCATATCCCACCTTTCAAACCGAAACACAGCCGTGCAAACACAACTGCTTCACGGTTGAAACACGAATGGGGCAGAGGTACCCAAGCAATCGACTTTTGTACAAAGGTTATAATAATATTACTAAAATAGATTTATAACTTTAACTGAGGCAAATATAATTATCATAAAGTCGACAATTTTAAACTTTAATTTCATTATAAATACTTATTAATAAATATTTAATATTTTCTTGATATTGTTTGTACTTATTACATGTAGTTTACTATTGTAATCATTTGGAGGAAACAATAAAGAGAATTTATCTATCTATACCAAACATTTTTTCTTATAAAAAGCTAGTCATTTATAGTCGCCAATTCATCTTCATGTAATATACGAGTGAAGTAAGACAACATTTCCTTTACTGTTTGTTAATACCAGATTTTGAGCAATGCTGTAACATGCAACCTAATACGAAAGTTAATTTACGCGACTTTAAAAAGTATTTTCTATTCATTTGTTTTAGTTTTATTTATATCTTTACTCACTGCGAATCAATTTTGATATTTTGTTTTCAAACTATGAGATTTAATTAATCTAGTTGTTGTTAATTTTCATGGTGTAAAACTTTTTTACTTTTAGATAATTATAAAGACAACATTACAGAATGTATATATCAAAAATGTAATACACCTTTCACATTAGGCACAAGATAAACAAACCACCATACAAGGGTCATATCATCATCAAACATCCCCATGGAATGGTGATAAACCGATATTGAAGCGTAAATTGTAATCTTTTTGTTAAATATGATATTCTCAATATAAATTATTTTACAAATCCTCTGTATTTACAATGGGTATTTACGCTCCAGTACATGTTTTATGATAGTCCAGATTAAAATATTTATTCTGTATCGTCGCAATATTATTCAGTTCAGTGAATTTACTCTGCTAGTCCTGTCAACCCAATATTCTACTACTGTACATAAAGTTAAGAATCTACCTGTGCTTAGAATGTACTTGTATTAGAAACACATAAATGTCGTGAAATAAAAATTGTAAAACAAAAGGTAAAGGAGACAAAAATTTGTTGTAATTGATTTCACAAATTTTTGTTATCGATATAATTCTAAAATCTTTGGATAATATACACAGAGAGATTATATGAATATTTACAGTCACATTTTGTCCTTCTGCATTCTTTAGCATGAGCAGAATGTAAATTTTACAAAAGACTAATGATTTCGATTTTACCCTGTAAATGACGACTCCAGGACGATTTCCTTCTTTTAAAAGAAGTGGTAACCGATAAATTTGAAGTTGCATTAACGATTAATTGATAGACATTTCAATATTAATGTTCTGTATAGCATTTAGAATCCAAAACGGTTTGTATAGATCGAATTTGAACTACCTTAAACAGTATATATAACATATGTCAATTTTAAACAAGGACATACATTATATTCAAGGACCCAGGACCCTAATGATTTCATATTATATAATAATATTAATAATAATGTTTATTTATTTATCTCACAACTTTTTTGAGTACAAAGATACATCAAAGTTGGGTAGAATTGGTATCTGAACTGATAGCTGAACTGGGTATCCGAAGAACCCGTATAACAAGTCACCAGGACCCCTCCGTGGTATGAAACAATTTATAGTAATACATACATGGAGAACATAAAAGTTGTTAGGCGTAGTAGATACAAATAAAATACATACACATGAAAACATGTATTCACACATATATGCTATTTAAATGTTTCAATAACAATCAGTCACAACTGGATATACATTATTGAGCAAAGTTAAGGTAAATATGGACACTGTGACAAAAAGAGAGGTAGTATCCATTAATATTTCAATTTCATCATAGTTAAGCTGCTGAAGCTATTCTGTAACAGTTTTTTTACACATATATTTATTGAAGGCAAAGATTGATATTTTTAAGTAAATCTAAAAATAAAATTGTAGATTATTTAAGCAAACGTCGTATTAGGTCAGGTAATTAGGTCAGGATGGTAAGTCAAAAGTGAATGTTGCTTTAATATTGTAGCTAGGATAAATAATTGGCGCACTGTAAGAACTTGGCATGACTTGTAAAGATCGTGCGTAGAGTATCAAAATGGCTCGAAGGTAGATACTTTGTATGGTTCTTTGGGCTCTTTTAAGACTAATAAAACTGAACTTAGTAGTACCACCCCAAGGAGTGATACAGTAAGTTAAAATTGACTGTCATAGGGCCATTTTAATGATTTTGGAATTAGCAATATACTCGTAATATAATAGTTGCTCAAAAATGTATATTAACTTTCTATTACGCGTAGTTAAATTTTCGGCATGCGCTTTAAAGTTAAAATTGGTGTCAAGTGTTACATCTAAGTATTCAATTGTCTTAAAACACTAAAACTTGGCAAAAAAATTAGTATTTTTTTTAAACTAGTCAATTACTAGTAAGATAAATTCTCAATAATATGCGTAGGTATACATTAATTTAATACAAAAATATTTATAACTTTTTGTGTTATAATTATTTCAGTGATGAGTCATATCAAGCGGGGCTAAATATTCTAAATAAAAAAAAAATATATACGTATATCGAAGATAATTAAAAATGTTAAAAGTTACAAATATTTTTAGTAATAAAGTTTTGCGCCATAGTTTTAATAATAGACTACAAAAGCCAATTTGGCTAAGACACCAGCGAAATAGCCAGAAGGGCCACTTTCTAAGGTCCCTTTATTTTTTCCCCAAATGACTTAACCAATATCGCTTTGCCACGTACATTAAGTCTGATGCTAAACTTTAGCGTAGTTTGAGATAATTTCGCTTCGTAAATACAATTTGCCATTACCCGCTTCTACTTTCATCCACTAAGTTCATTGCTGAGATCGTAATTTCCAGAGTGGAAGCATTCAATCAAAAATGCATAAAAGCGTTAATTACCTAGTCCACACAAATCGTTTATATTACGAATATAAAAGGTATTATTTGTATAACATCTGTGCTAAATTATAAACAAAATCAATTTGCAATTTGGCTGTAATCACGTACAAGGCAATATCAAAGACAAAACAAAGTCGCCTTTGAGAGAAATGCTTTTGAAGGTATTTAATATCAATCTGTCTGATATTAGTATTGTTCCGAGTATTCTGCATTCTCAAAATTTGTCTTGAAGATATAAGTTATATTACTCGTTTATCACAATTATCATTTAATAATCTTGGTGCTCTAATGGCTTAATATACTGTCACATCTCGAGGGTTTGATCCCCTTACAATAAAAACATTTATATTCATGTATTAGCCTGGGTCTATTCACATATTGACGTGTGATTCCGGCATAGAATAGGCCACCATTTCCTTCATTTCCGTGGGTGTCATAAGAGACGACTAAGGGAGGGCGAGGGATGGGCAGCAGCGTCCCTCTTAAAACAACTCCAAAGCTTAACTGCGGTTGCTAATCTGCCTACTTTGGAACTAGATGATACTGTGTAATATTTCCAGTAATATTTATTATCATGTCTGTAAAACAAATATCCCAAAAACATTTTTAAAAACAAATAGGTATACCTATCGTATATTCGCGTAACTAACAATTTTATTTTATTTAAATACAACAATAAACTTTGCTGTTTATGTAGACTCTTCCAGTGATGTTTTTTATTTCCATTTAATATTAGGAATGTAGTGCTGAATTAATATTATATTACGTTACTTCATAATGGAAATAATATTATTTTTATCAGAATTTTATTGTCCAGCAACCTGCTACGCGCAAACGTACTAACCAAGAAATTTTTATTACAATCCATAAACTAAATCATGTATAAATCATAGTGTTGCCCACATTTTGTTTTCATTGGAATTTTATTACAATGACAGGCTTTACGAGTTTCTGCCTATAGGTTTAATATTCATGTTGACTGTACATGTCTTAATGTACAACTTTTTATTGTCATATCAGCCGTTAACTGTACATTGCTGAATATGGCCTGCCGTTATTAACGGGTTTGTCACTAGTTGCCACAGTTAGATTTTGGTGATGTTTAGGGACACTACTACCTCTACTGCCTATTGCTCGACCATTATGTTCCCTTAGTCACCTCTTATGATATTCAAGGCAAAGGAAAGAAAGGGTGAAATATTTAATAATTAGCTAAGTTAGAGAATATACATTTTTTATTTAACTTAGAATGGCAAACAAGCTGACGGCTCTCCTGATGGAAAATGGTAACCGTCACCTATAGATATGAGCAAGTACCATGGAAATAACAGAGAATACTGTTTAGCTCATGATACTCCCCAATACCGCTCATACAGGTTTTTATTACGATTAGTGTACCAATATTTTGTCTCTGTTACAAAAGATATGGTCACGATGTAATTAATGAAATGTGACTTATAAATAAATATATTGGTATAATTGTAAACCTATTAATTATGTATTAAATTATATATTACCTATTAAAAATATATGTAGACATAACTACGTAAATCTTAAAATATTTTATGCACTACGTTAACTTTGTAGCATATCGTTATAAAACTTAACTCTATTGTCTCATCTAGACTTAAAATTTAAAGCTTACAGCTATTTATGTAGATAAACCGCCAATACAGGAAGTGGCCTACTTATCTTGCTAATTAGGCCATATCCTGCTATTGCGGTAAAAATATGACAAGAAATGAAATTATTTATTATGTCTTTAGTTCTCTTTTCGCCGCAATGGCAAATAAATGCCTCAGTAACATATCAGGTAGCAACATTTTACTTTTTTTTTCTGATTTTTATTCTTGAGCAAACCAAATTTATATTTTTCAATCTGGTTATCTCATTACAATACTATCGAAATTACAGACATGGATTAAATAGATGTCGCAATGGCTTGTATTTTATGTGCTAACTTTTTACCCTAAGTAAACTCACAGGAGCCTGTTTGAACTTAGGCTAAATTTCGATTCAAAGTTCCTTCATATACGAGTATAAGCACACCTATTTACAAAGAGAATTTAGACGATGGGCAAAACAGTATTGCACTTAAATAGATGTTTGCTAGTTTTTTTTAACATTACAATATGTAGATTTTCATATAGATTTAAGTATTTGCGACGTATTTCTCCAACAATATCTGACACTGAAATATATCTTATATTTTCCATTAATGTTTTCACATGACTAAAATTTTGAATATGCAGTAACTCTTTTAATAAGTTTCCGAAGTGTTTTGAATGAATTCCAAAGTGTGAAGTAAAAATAAAGACAGAAAAATGTCAAACGGCATAAAAATATTATTAATTTTCCAACTATTACCATGGTTACCATAATGTCTCATTGCTTGCCTGCAACAACAGCAATGGGTCTTTATCTATAGGATAGCTTATTATTGCCATGGATTAAAGTGGGTTTTATTTCATTAATCCACCTTACACACCGTACGTATATTCTTGGGATAAAAAAGTGTAATGACACTTTTTATTTCAAAAAGAACTTTAGATTAAGAAAAAAATTAATAATTTAGATTGAGGTTTCCATATATGTTACAAACTGATAAAAAATCGCTAATAAAATAAAAAATAAACATATTTCATTTGGTTACTTTATAATAGAGTTTCTTAAACTTTTTGCAGTCACGGACTACTTTCACAATTTAAATGATTCCTCCGACCCCTGTCAAAAAATATTTTAGTCAGACCCTAAAAAGGAAAAGAAAAAAAGGCTTTTTTATATTAATAAAAAATATTGATAGTTTCATTACAGTATAATATGCAATCTATTGAATTCGCTGCCTAACGACAACGATGCATGACGTCGAGTTTACTACACAATTTCCTAATAAATATTTTTAAACTTCATTGACATACTGCGCATCCCTGATATAGATGCTATGGATCCCTAAGAGGTCTGTGGACTCCACTTTAAGAAACTCTGTTTCATGAGATCTTCTTACATGTTTAATTTTAAGACGTATAAACGAAAGTAGATAAGGTGCCAGTTTTTAGGAATTTACATGTTTGATACCTATAACTTTTTATAAAATTGAGTTAGAAACTTAAGTAACTCATCTAATATTTCAGATTATAAACTTTAAGTATCTTATAAAAAAGGTATTGAAACATGATAAACAAAGTAATTCTATAAGGATTGAAGTACGGAACTCTAAAAAGTACAAAGTAATAAGTTTCTTAATTAAGAAACGCGTTTGCAATGTCAATATTTGACTAAATGTGTCCCTACCTGCAATTATTAGATTTTAAGGGTTCTCTTTTGGATAGTTCTATTCGTCTATCTATAGCTATCGGTATTAATTTAAACTAGATATGTAGCAAATTTAACCATTGCAAATTATTCATTCAGTGATTTTAATGATCTTTATTTTGTCATCTAGACTGTAACTAATTCATTTTTCGTTAATATGATAGCTTTAAATTAGCTTATGGTTGGTATATGTATTAAATTATTAAGTTACTCGTATTATAGCTGTAAGCTTCTCTCAAAAATAATAAATAAATAAATAATACTGCTTCACACTGGTAAAGTATAGGAAACTGCTAGTATTCTCCATATCTACAATTTTTAATAGACTGCTAAATGCAAGAAATTTAACAGTATTTATTAATTTCGTTGCTCTCGGGTTGATCCGTTTGGAGTACGGTTATTTAGACAAACAGACGTAAATTACACCTACTGGCCGCGATTTATCCGCATGACCCGGGCATAAATCAATTAATTGGGACAAAGAATTGCCTATGTGTTTCTCTATACCAAATACACACTACGTGTATATCAAATTATAATATGCCTATTGACTGTACCAAGACAAATAAACAAACTCACTTTTCCGTCATAATATTTACTAATAGCACAAATAGATAGTAAGGATAAGGATATTCGTAAATATTTATTACCTAGACAATTTGTTTGAATAGGAATAAATTTTGTTTATCTGTGTGTGTAATAATCATTTTCTTTCTCAGGTTGTTAGAATGTTCGTCCTAGTCGTGATGGTGTTTGCGTTGTGCTGGCTTCCTTACCATGCGTTCTTCGTGTTGGCATACCACCATCATTCGCTAACTTCGGGACCGTTGGCTCAACACATGTACCTAGCCTTCTACTGGCTAGCCATGGCGAATTCGATGTTCAATCCACTCATATACTACTGGATGAGTAACAAGTAAGTTTTAAATCTTTATAGAAATACTTTACCGCGGACCAGATGATAGACAATTTGAAGCGAATTTCAAAACAAAGAAATTTTCTATTCGTCTGAATTTTTTCCATTACATCACAAATTTTGAACCGACTTTAGCTTTTCTTACACCGCAACTTCCTCTTGGTAAAGCATGGGAGGTGTCATGGGTGAAACAGTATACTCTGTTATGACTGTTCATGTCTATAGGCGACGGTTACCACTTTTCATCTGGTGGGCCGTCAATGTGTTTTTCATTTTAAGTTGTATAAAAAAAACTTTTTGAACTCGATAGAGTTTACTCTTGTGTTGGTTTTAATTTTTTTTTTTGAGTATATCAACCAATTTTCTTTACGGAACAAAAAACTCCGTGTTGTGAAACAATATCCTATTAATAGATGTTTCTTACTCTTTCACGCAAAAACTACTAAATACTAAATGGCTTTGAATTAAGTTTAGTAGGATATTTTAAATTAACACAAAAAATACTTCATGTACTGATTGCACGCGGGTAAAGTCGCGAGATACTGCTTGAATGTATATAAAGAATAAACACACAATATTTACCCTGTAGGGTAATTACGAGACATCTTACCGTTTATTGGTGCGTACACAATAGAATTCATTATTTTTACAAAGCAACAGGTATATACTTTTGTCCAATATGATGTCTACGGCCATTTTCTATCATTGTACGGTTCGCCATCGACAGGGAGTTCACCCTCATACCTTACAGCCTAAATAGTCGCGTACAACGCGGTTTCAGAGATGTTTTCTCCCACGAACATTCAGGTTATGGAATGAGCTCCCTGCCGAGGTTGTTCCAAGAGACTAGAGCATGGGGTTCTCAAAAGGGGGGTAAAGACGTTTCTTCAGGGTCGGCAACGCGCGTGTAATATCTCTGGTATTGCAGGCGTTCATAGGCTACGGTAACCGCTTACCATCAGGTGGGCCGTATGCTTGTTTGCCACCTCAGTGGTATTAAAAAAAACTTTTGTCCATCAAAATATAGTAAACGAATTAGAATAAAATATATTCTGTGTTTATATAAGTTATAATTTGTAGCCAATTTCCAAATATATTTTAATACTATATGTACAGATATCCTGAGTATGCGGCCTCTGCGTTACGCGAGGCAGACATAATCCGATCACTCGATAATTCATTCCAGTAATAAGTTTAACCATATTGGCAGATAAAATATTCAGCATATTACTCGTATGTATTTCAAGGGGTTTGTTTCTTTTTATATATTCCTATAAGCATTGAGTGGTACAGGCCAGTCTGTGAAGTCATAACCTCACCGTGATTAAAACGCAATCTTCTGATCAATTCTATGTACCAATAAATCATAATCAAATAATAAAGTAACGAATATTTAATAAAAATTCAAATATTTTTACAATCTTTGATAAATAAATATAATTTGACATTTTAATACATGTCGTATATCGTGGCTTTTCTCGTTAATTTATTATTATTATTTCAGCCGTTAATTGTCCACTGCTGGACATAAGCCTTCCCCATAAGGGTAGTTTTGCATGTAGTTGCCACTCTTGACAGGTTGGCGACCGCGTTAGGATTTTAAAGATGTTTTAAGAGGAACGCTGCTGCCTATTTCTCGTTAATAATAATATGTAAACTTATTATATGATATAACTGTTATATATCAAATTTCATTCAAAACTATTTCGCTGCTACACCTAAATATCAACCGAACAACTTCGCATTTCTCTTATTAGTAGAAAGTAAGATATTGCTACTGCAACGACAATAACTCGACCGCACGCTTGTACTCTACGCCAAAGTTTAAAGCAGGACTTAGTTGTTTGACGACATCCGTAGCGCCTTTGTAGAACCAGATGTTTCATTGTTTTGTTCTTGGTATTAAATAGGCGTTAGATCTATATAAATTTTTCGATGTAACTATTTTTATAATTTATATTCATTTTCATAAGGTAATATATTTGAAACGTAAAAACTAAACTAAAACTTCTTACAACATAAAGAACTTATAATGTTCGTGCAAAAAATATAAAGTTATTTTTTATGAAAAATTTAGCTCAGTTTTTTAATAAGTATTTTAATAATTTATATTACTACAAGTATAACGTTGTTCGAAACAATATAATTGGCTTTACAATTTATGTAAAACTTATAATAACTCATAATTATACTGTAATAAGATGTTTGTTACCTAAATAAATAAAATACTAAATAAGAATATATTTACTAGTGTAGTAGTATTTTATCATCTGTGGTGGTATAAAGAAATTATTATTATTCTTTGAACAAAGATTTTTTTGAATCAATAGACATACTAACTTAATGAATCATAAGATACCTATGACAACAATAATATATATTGCATTGTAAACCCAATAATACAGTAGCTCCTAATAATAGGGTTAATAATAAAGTTCAATCAATGAACAATATTCATTGTTTACTATAAAATCGAGGAATTTATTACAAAATGACCAATTTATTAACCTATTAGTTTGATTCATCACCATTATCACCATAACAGCCTTTAACTTTCCACTGCTGAACAAAAACCTCCCCCTTGGGGGGTTTTGCCAATAGTTGCCACGCTCGGCAGGCAGATTGGCAACCGCAGTTAAAATTTAGAGATGTTTTAAGAGGCACGCTACTGCCCTTGTCCTACTAGTTCCATTATGTATTTTTCATTAGATAAAGTTAAGTAACACCTTTCTTAAGTAACACTATCAGTGGTGACAGATTACTTCGTCGTTTCGTCGATTGTTCGAGGAAATTTTCAATTCAGTTGTATTTTTTTTTTATATTTACTTAGTAGTAAATATATATTTATCGCTATTTTAACATCAACATTATTACTAGAGACTTACACATTATAAATACTCCATGAGGAATAAAATTAAATATGTCTTTACGTACCAAATTAAGCACCAAACTAAGTTTTGGCGCTCAAATAATAATATCTTAAGTCCTTATAGAGATGTATGTAAGGATTTGGCCTTTGGCCCTCCGTTCTCTCTACCTACTACGCAAAGAACTGAATGTAAAGTAATAGATAAGTAAGTGCTCATAAGGCCACTAAAAATAGGTAATTAGAAAAGAATATTTATTTTTTAACTGTAAGTAAGGAACTACTTAATAAAAGTTATATGCCCTACACGGGTGTGTTGAAATTATCTAAGTTTAAACGCGGGCAATATTAAGTTTCCAAACAAGATTCGATTTAATTCAACATTCTCAGTTTTCTTAGTGCAAACACATGTTCTGCACATATTATGTACCTGCTTCTAAAATAGAGTGAAGGGAAATAATGTATAATTTTAACTCTGGGTGTTTTTCATACATTGTTTATTTATTTTTTTATTCAACTTGAAATGGCAAACAAGCTGACGGTCCACCTGATGGAAAGTGGTAACCGTTGCCTATAGATATGAGCAGTACTATGGACATAACAGAGTATACTGTTTGGCCCATGATAACCCCATGCGTTGCCATTCCTGAGATGTCGGGTGTTATTAAGTTGATATTTTTATAAAAAATATAAACATTTCATAAGTCAAAAGGTACAGAGAAGTAATGGATGAAATATGAAAGTAAATTAGGCAAAGAATGTAAGAAAAAATAGAGACTTTTAGTACTAGATTGTCTCTGTCTACCCCACAAAGGTATTGGAATGAGGATAAATATCTATATATTTATAATATCTTTTTTACGATATAAATATGAAATATAAGTAGGTAGTACATTCTTGTGAATACTAATAAAATAAACAATCCCTTCAGCTATTAAAATTCCTCTGTTTAACTAAAATTCCTCTGTGTACCTAAAAAGCACCTTTATCTATCCAAATTTAGAACATTAGGATAATATGCCCTTACCATGCCACATACCTAATAATACCTACTGAGGAGGAAAGGGATTATTAGTAATGGGATCTAACTGACCCATTGCCAGCAATACACCCTATCAGGTCGACCTCTACGTGGTTTCCCCTGGAAACCATCGTGGTTAGTTCTAGTGGAATTCGTCAGGATGTAGCCCATCGTGATGAATTCCACTACAATTAACCACGATCTGCCTTCATCGTCACCTATCATCCCTCACTAGTGCCCCTCCAGCGTATACCGATAGCGTAGGCGGGGTATATAATATATATATAGACATGTATTTATAATAGTATTATCGTGTAACGATATCGTTACAATTTAAAATTTTGTTTATAAAACAATTATATGTAAGTTATACTTAACATTTTTATGATTGCTTTTTCTAAAATATACAATTCTTTCTTAGATTCCGAATCTACTTCCGCGTCGTGTTATGCTGTTGTGGTAAAACGAAAAGTACAACCCCCAATGATTTGAAGAAACTCGAAGTAAACAAATCATTTTCTGGTAAGTATTCACAATATATCCATTCTAAAATAGATTGCTTTTAATTACAGCGTTATTAAACTTTTAGAATAGATATTATACCGAAATAATAACCTACTTGCTACATAAGGAAACATTACCTTGCTTATCGAGTTAGTAGAGGACTATTCTCGTAGTTTCTCTGTGATAAAACCCGAAATGAGGATATAAAAAAAATATATAATTCAAGGATCCCCATCCTGAAATAGCAATGGGCTTGTAACAAAAAAACTTTTATTGGCAAACGCACTGTAGAATGATCTTATATGGAGCGATAATCTCAAATATTTAGGAAGAATTAAATGAAATCAAGTGACTTGAAACCGTTCGTTATGACAGAATCCTATGTTCAGTAATGTAATAATAATAATTACCTAATTACTGAAATGATGGTGATGTTTAAGATTACCATATTAATAACGTTTCCTATTGTTATTACTGAATTATTGACTGGAATAAATTAATTACAGGGATAAGTTCACTATCTTGTTATCTATATTAAGCTATTGTGCTGTCATAATATAGCACTATTCCTGTTTTGTACACAACAAAGTTAACAAACAAACAAACAATTGGCAAAAGATAACCAGCGCAAAACTTTCTTACTTATGTATTACAAAAGAGAGTAATCACAAACAAAAGCTGATAAGAAAGGAAGGAAGTGGCAAAGGAAGCTATATATATCTTCCAAATTTCAATGAATTATTTGGTTGATTACCGGCATTATATTTATAAACAATTTAACATTGCGACAGAAGAGCTATGACGCCAATAATTTAATGCTAAAATTTGAAAGTCACAGATAAATGTCGCGTCAGTTCACTTTAAAGGTAATTTATAAATGTAAGCTAAGTTAAATTTTTAACTACAGTAAAAATTAAATCAGAGCTCAAACAAGGTATAGAAAATGTTTTGCATATTGGAGTGTTGCTACTATTTTACTTTATATTGTATATGATTAACTATACAAGTATATAACATTAACATAATTGCTTCAATGAAACTAATATTTATTATGTGCACTACATTTTATTAAAATGATATACCTATTGTTTTTATAATTATTTATTTATTTATATACACATACACTAAACAAATCTTTCATTTAAATGATATCATTAGTTAAATACAATTGCTCTTAAGAAAAATAATATAAATTAAAAATAATACATATTACATCTGACAAAACAACATAATAATGAAGATTACACAATTATATAATAACATTACTATTTTATTTTTAAATTTTGAATCAAAGAAAAACGTATAAAAAACGTTTAATATTTAGTAAATAAAAAAAAAGTAACTATTTATTATTTTACATTATGAACGCTATATATTATATGATGCCAACAAAAGATATTTAGGTCTCTCAATATAATATGAATATTCGTTAATTATTTTTTACAAATACTGATAATATGACATTATTCTTTATATTATAAATGTTTAGTTATAAAATTGAGTAAATATTTTCTATTTCTATTTATTATAGTCACAGAAATATAAGTGTGAAGCAGATATACCTTTGGCTGCTTTATTCATAGAAATCTTACTGAAAAAAAAAATTCAAAAGCTGAATAAAATGGAAGGTGGATTCTGTTCCAGACGTTGACAAACTTCAGCGTAATAACAGACGTCGCTTGTTGGTACCGATTGGTCGTGAAATGTCATTTTACATACTTTTTGTATAACATAATTTTAGTTTCATAAAATACATAATATAAAAGCACAGTATAAGAAATATACAAAATTAACTTTACGTAGCAACAATTTTTTTAAATGAATACATTTTTGCTTACATTTTTTCTTGATGGAATTTTATCAAAACTTGTTTAAATTATATAAAAGTAATAAATATAATAAAATAATAATAATGTTAAAAAATATCAATTTTTATTAGTAAAATCTAATTCATTATTGAAATGGAATTGAGAACTTTTGTTGTTTGATTGGGCATGAACTGGATATCTCGACACTCCGGATAAAGCTTTATTCAAGAATGCTTGACAAAAGATCAATATTGGCACTCTTAAAGACAAAATTAAATATTTCTAATAATTTAATGTTTTATTTATTATTAACGTTGTTTATTTATATAAAATTCTCTGTCTCAGACGACCATACTCAAAAGAAATACTTTCTATTTAGGTTTAATTTGAAAGAATTTTAGACTAAGAAGCATAGAATGTATAGTACTTCAACTGAGGAAGTTATGTACCATAAAGTACGGAGATATAACTTTTACTGATATCAGATAGTAGGGTATCGTAGCTATTAATTCAAAACAAAAGATTATATATAATTCATAGTTTGTGTCACAACTTCTTTTAAAAAGTTTGTTTAAGAGGAGTCACCCATATGTATTATACATTATATAATGCTATTTTGTCAGTCATCTATAAACATTTTTCTGTGAGACATCTGTATTAAAATATGGCAAATTATTGATTTTCAGTTACAGTAAAAAATTAACATGTAAAGTGACGCTTGAGGCGTTTTTTAAAATTTATCTTTGACACTTAAAAAACCTAATTGTGATAAAAAAAAATTGTTTTATTCAATTATGTTAGAAATACCTACCTACAAAATTTACTAAGTGCTTATATATTATAATAACAAGCTTGGAGTGTGTTAACTTGATGCTTAATTTTGTTATTAATTAAGTTAGCAACCGCTTTCAATATATTATCCATCGTATGAACGATGATGATGTATTGAAAATGATCGCTTAAATATTAAAGTTTTAAAAGAAAATATTTACAATAACTAATAATAAACTGGGTAATGGGTAAAAATGCATTTAAATTTACAATATATTACTTTTTAGATGTAACGATCTTCCAAATACCTTTTTTCTATACTTAGATACTGTTATTATAATACAATTTAAGAAAGATATTTTTATTAAGTATTCATTATATTTAAAAGGGTATCATACCTATTTATAAAAGTGGTTTAAAATTTATATATTTCTGTCTATCTTTCCAATTAATTTGTAATTCATTTTTCTAGCACTTGCTGTCATCCAATTAAAATAAAATATCTTATATAGTAAGTATATGTGACAAATAAAACTGCAATAAAGAGTTGATTTGATTATTAGAGAAGTAGAAGATAACCATAGGAATTTTGTAATTAAATAATGTGTCTAATTTCAACGAGTTAATTTTTTTATGTTTATTATTTGGCCACCAAATAGAATTTAAGTAAAGCCTAATTATGATACCTATATGAATCTTGGGTGTTATTATAAACAAATAAATATATGAACTTTTTTATAATACATTTTCAAATAAAATTATAATATCAAAAGATAGCAATGGTATCAAAACTGTGCATTACATGGCATGCTATAATTTTTGTGCAAATATCAATTTCCCCGTAAACGGGTAATAGAAAAAGCTATTTACGTAATAATTCCTTTTAGCCAGAATCCGTACAACGTACGCACAATATTTCATCTTAAGTTTTTCGTTAACATTCCATCTGTGCCTAGCAAACGAATTCTTTTTATAAATGTTTAGTCGACAGCTTTTTCCGTACTAATTTCTCATTAGTCCTATATTCATTTTTACTTATATAGTATTTTTTGTTCAAAGAATTGTGAAGAGTTACATTTTTCACAAATATAGTGAGACATAATAGCAATCTGAGACCATATACATCATTGTGTATTTTGTAAAACTAATAGTGCTGTTCTTTTCTATCTATAGACGAAGTTGTTACTTTAATCAGATGGCTTATATAACTTATTTGTCCTTGCTTGCCTCAAGCATCCGGTATTGTATAATAAATTTTTTATGGGTGTAAATACAATAGTACCTCCTGTCTGCATTATCGGTATACGATAGTGGGATGCCAATAAGAGATAATAGGTGAGAATGTGAAAGCAGGTTAATTTAACATATGCTTTCACATCCTGGTGTAATTAAGATGGCGTAATGAATTCATGAACTTATTTACTATTATTTCTAGAGGGAACCCTGTGGAGGTCAACCTGATACTGCTTAGCAATGAGACTACTAAACACGAGTACTAACAATCCCTTTCCCCTTTATTATAGGTTACTCGTAAGAAAGTTATTCTCTATAAAAAAAAATATATATACAGTAGATTTTTTCTGCAATTGAAAGGCAGGTTTGTCTCGACCGGTACTTTTGAATTGGTCTTGTTAAAATCAAAATTTTATTATGGATATACCAAAGTAATGATAGTTTTAAATTATGAATATCTATCTTCTATCTTATTAACTCTTAATGTAGAAAAGAGGACTATTCATTTTTTATGGACCTTAAATCCTTTGTATGCTAGAATAAATTTTATCTTTGCTCCTTTTGTATTCTTTATTTATTTTCTTTTGACTGTAAATATTTTTTTTTTTATAAAAACACATTCAATTGAATTTTGTTACAGTAAGCCAGAGGCATTACCGCGACCCTTCTTCCTTCAGCCGAGCATGACATTCGCGGAGGCGAAGTAACTTGTCCCGCTCCCTCACACCTAATGGTATGCCTTTTTCTTATTCTAACAACCCTAGTTGTCTATACATTGCCACTGAATATGTCTCTAAAAACATTATAATACAGAGTATCATAATTAGCTATAATAAAATATGTAATAAAAATATATCTTTTATTAATAAATGATGATTAGACTAAACGTTATGTGTTTAAAAATATATACAAATAAAAATGAATTCCCTTATGTAAGCATATCACATTAGAATGGTTGCTCCTATTTAACTGATTATTTTTTTAATTTGTTTTGAATACAAGTTTTATATGAAAGAAAACGTTGAAAAAATCGTAAAGTACCCGTATGAAGCCGAGCGGGCAACTAGTATGTTAAATAAATTTGAATTTAATAGATTTATTTACTAAATATTTTTTTATGTGTAGTTGATAATTCTTTGTATAATTATTTTTATTATACTTAATATATATAATTTTTGACTATTAAATCTACTAAATAGTATTCACAGTATTACAAAATTGCAAGTAATTACTTACAAAAAGGTAATTAGTGGTAGTTAATGAGAAAGCTCAAAATGACTTGATAAACGTCCCTGGAAAATTTACGGCCACATTTTACTAACAAATTAAGGGAGAATATTGTAATATATATTGCACACTTAAAAAATTTTGTAGAATGATGAAAAAAATTTTGAACAAAGCTTCTGCTTTCCCCCTTTTTTCTGCCTTCTTATCACATCTATGGCTTACTGCTTTGATTCTTTGTAGTTGTGTTGTAAGGGAGAGTGGGGTATTAAGTGGGGTATTATTACGATGGTGACTGAATGGCGAATTGCACGTCCTTTGATACACGTACTGTTACAACCCTAGCATGTAGACAAATTATTGCTGTATAGCAATATCATTTATTTCTATTTAAATCAGCAGTAATATGCCTGTTTAAACGAATACAAACCCTAAATCAGGCTGTCGTAGTTTAGCTAGCCAAATTGCTGCCCAGCTACGGACCTGGTTTCTATGGTATGGTCGCCGGTCTGACCAGTAAAATTAACTAGCTGGATTTATCATCCGGGCTCAATAAAACTCTGAACCTAGGGTCTCGCGTCGCGAGTCAAGTGAACTTTCAAATAAACAGTGTAAAGTAAATAAGTTAATAATAGAACATTGTGTAAAAATATTAAATAAAAAACTTTGGTGTGTGGCAAAAAACTATACTCCACACTAACAGTACGTATTTGGCTACCAGTGGGAAATGCAGCTAACATACCCAATTCATAAGTACTTCGAGTTGAGGAACAAGGGACATTTGTTGATTTTTCGTTCGTCGATGTATGGTTCTTAAAATTAAGAATTATCAATCTTTAGTTAAACATAAAGCATATCAGCCTTTAACTGTTTGCTGCGGAACATAAGCCTCTCCTTTGGGGAGTTTTGCCAATAGTTGCCACGCTTGACAGGCGGATTGGCAATCGCAGTCAGGCTTTAGAGATATTTTAAGAAGGACGCTGCTGCCCATCCCTCGCTATTCCTTAATCGGCTCTTACGACACCCACGGGAAAGTAAGGGGTGGCCTATTCTATGCCGAGACCACACAGCCATTTATATTTACTAACTACTAATTATATACCCAAATCTGTCTTATTTGAATTATGTTTTTTAATTGGTAGTAGTCGAGTAATGGATTTCATAACTCGGAAAAAGATAGTCTATGTGTAATTTATTTAGATACAGGCAAATGTAGAAAGATGGGATACTGTTGAAAAATTGCGGAAACTGGGCGCATAAAGAAAGTTCTGATTTAGTTGATAATCCAATTCCTTATATTTGTGTTTTTTGTCTTTATCCATGTCCTTAAAATTTCTATTTCCTTGTATTATTAAACAATTTAATCTTTCAAATATAAAACTAAGATAAAATATATTTAAACCTACGATTATTGAAAATAACCAACTAAAATGGCCGCTTTTTTAAATAATACATATATATATAAAATTGTAAACAATACGAATATATGTATATTTATATTAAATCGGAAAAAAATAGTTGCCAATGCAAATTTAAGAGTCCTGATCTGAAAAATTTTAATATGTTTTTTGCGACACTGAAAAAAATGGCGGGTATATAAAAATATGTGTTAAATTGATTTAGCCAAATGTCACTTTAACTGATGAAATATTGACATGTTTTTAACATTCGATGCTCTATCTATATAACTAAGAATATATTATTGAGGAACATTAGAGAAAAACTTTTTTTCGTTTGTGTTATTTTTTTTGAAACCTAATTATTGTTAAACCTTGCTGATTCGAATAGCAAGGATTTAATTAATCTCGTTTTTTGGGATATGTTAATCTTAAATAACATAAATATAGAAATAAGGGTTTAAACAAAAGCTGAAAACAAAAAACAAAAAAGACAAAGAAATATCCAGTTAATGAGTATTATGGGAATGGTCACGATGGCGTAGAATTTCATTACATTCCATGTGTCAGTACTAATGTCAACTGATTCTTTTACATTTAAATAGTTGTCTTTAAAAAAAATCGGTTGACCTACTGGCCTACCAGTAAATCTTAATGTGAATTTATTTTAATATAATAAATAATTAAAACATACACTACAAAGAAATCAACAATGATTGTAACAAAAATTGTACGAGATCAATGGTGAAGTGTCTAACGCAGACCGATTAAAAGAATTTAGTAATTATTACAGTGGATTCTGATAAAAATATCACATAACGTGCATAATAAACATATCATCCAATTAGGAGTTTTCCTTTTAAAATCCGCTTAAAAATTTTGTCCGCGTGGCAATCCATCCATTGTATAAAAAGGTTTTATTATTGTTACAGTACTGTTGACTTTGTATGGTATTTCCGGTGGATTAAAAACAGCATATATGTATAACTGAGTACGTACCTTAAAAAAATCCTTAATATATTATATGGACATTTATTAAGTACGTAAGTTACTATTAGACCTAAATACTTGAAAACCATCCATAAAATTGAACATCGCCAAATACTAACAAAATAAAATAAAAGTCCTTTTATCCCTCAATAAGGAAAGTACAGAAGCAAACGCTGAATTTGATCTGAAAGTTTCATGCCATCGTAAAGTATTGAGGCGACGCGGTCCTAAAAAGAAACAAGAAATACCTACATAAGTATTAGGTGCTCTGTGAGAAGATGTCACGGAACAAAAATAGAAAAGCTTGGAAATTCATTATGAAACCATGTAAAATACTAAGTTTAGTATTACTTGATGTTTCATGCAGTAACAATTTGAGAATATCTTTTAATAATTCTGAATGCAATACGACTAATTCTGTCCACAAATTCGCTTATGTGGGTTCAAAGAGAATTATTTAACTAAACCGGAAACAAAAGCATTGTCTGTATTAATCTACTTGTCTGTTTTTGTTCCGAATTACTTCAAAATTCACATTTAGTTTTTGCGAGTAAAATAGAAATTTATAATAATTGCATTAAAAAAGTCCTAATGGATTTTTTATGTTTATTTATTTATTATTTTTGAGGGCAGCTTACAAATATAATAATTTAATTATCAAATATATGTATATGACAACAATAAGCTAATAAGAAGCTCATATGTTTGGTGTACAACCAGTATAAATATTTATTATGACTTTGTTTCAAATATTTATGAAGATCAGGGTTTACAAGTACTGCTTAAACAATATTCTATATTTATACAGGCCTACTTTATTATAAGCATATTATGATATACGGTTGTGTAATGCTGTATCTCCTATTCGACGTCACGTCCTAAATTGAAAAAGATATAACTATTATGTTGTGTATACTACAGGCGCAAATATTCATGGAATTTCGATAGAAACATTTTTTACGCTATGTCAGACTAGTTTATTATCTACTTAAGGGATTTGATTCAATATTAAGTCAGTATGTGTTGTGCATTAACAAATTCAGATCCAAATTTCCAAACATTTTCTTTGTTTCCATGTACTGTTGATGATTATAATTCACTGTCAGTATGCTGAATGGTTGATGGTGTTACTTTCTGAACTTCGTTTTAAAACATTTAAACATAACCAACAGTATATAAATTAGGGTTAGACAGCAGCGTCTTTCTTAAAACATCATCAACTGTACGCGTAACCGCGATTGCCAATCCTCCTGCCAAACGTGACAACTACTGGCAAAATCTCCCAATAGGGGAGGCTTATGAGTTATATAATGACACGATAATGTAATTTAAATACATTTTCATACAACTCAAAATGGCATATGAACTAACTGACAAACTCAGCTCACCTAGTAAGAATTAATAACTGTTGCTTTTAGAAATAAACAGGAGTTAGAATCGATATTCTAGAAAAATTAGATATTGTTTTAAATTTACATCACGTTTGTTTACATCTTTACACATTTTATGACGGAGATATTATTATTACTGTTATTTATCTAACAGGAGACAAAGTCGAAATATCGAGAGCTCTTGTAAGTTTTCGAATTTGTTACAAGTAACTTCCATGACCCGTCGACTTGCGGCCAGGGATTTATTACAGACTTCTGAAAACCTGATAGATTCAACTAGGTAAAAGCTGGCAGAGAAATGAAATGCTTTCATTCGTATTATTAAGATTTTTACGGTAAACTGCTTGCATTCATAAGAATATTTAAGGAAAAGAAATTTAAAATGTTAACAGCAAAACAATTTTCAAATCCAAATACCAATCAAAAAATTTCCAGTGTCTGTCCAATATCTCTTTATTGATAGATTTTGATTTTAACCTATTAATTTATACTTTTTGTAAGATTATAACATTATCATAAATTAAGCGCCCATAGACCCTCAGGACGTTTATAACAGTGTATCTTTAGCATATAATTAAGGTTATTCATAAAATTAGCATAATTGACTTTACAAGTGTATCGTATTCTTTGTTTCTTTGACAGATCATTCGAATGCCACCGAGCTACTTACGAATGGAAATACTCTAAGAATGAATCCCAAGGGTGAGAGAGACGACGAAACACTTTTCCACGTGTGTGACGACAAATTATAACTTGTGAGTTAAGTGTTTGAAAACTTTTCATCATTAAACTGTGTTACAATACAAAATTATAAGTTACGTATAAATAAATGTTGATGAAAGCGATTGTGCCTGTGTGTTAATATTGAATATTATGTAAAAATATAATAACTTAAGCCGTCTGAGGATTTGATACAAATATTAAGTAAGATAATGCAAAAATAAGTGCTAAATCGTAATTTTAATAGATTTAAAAGCTGTATAACTTAATTTTACGATAAATATATAATTAAGTAATTTATGTGTTTATTATTTATTATTTACCTAATACTAACATACCGCGTTACCTTGTGATGGTAGCGGGTTCGATTCCTGCACAACACAAACATTTGAATTCATGAATAAATTTGTATCAATACTAGTGTTTTCTACCGTGAAGCAGTTATGTTTGCATAGCTATGTTTCGGTTTGAACGATGGGATATGGCGTGAATTTACAGGCTACAGAGGAATAACATCTGAGTCCTCAGGAATGGCAACACATGAGGAGTATCATGGGCGAAACAGTATACTCTGTTATGTCCATGGTACTGCTCCTGTCTCTAGGCGACAGTTACTACTTTCCATCAGGTGGGTCGTTAGCTTGTTTGCCATTCTAAGTTGTACAAAAAAAATATCTATATGTATGTTTGTACAAAAAATATTTAAATATTTCTATCAGTTATCTAGTATCCATAGTACAATAAATTCTGCTTAGTTCCAAACTAGATAGGCGCTATGAAATACGGTCAGTGGTATTTATTATGTTTACAACTGTAACCTTACATGGGACGTATGCTTTTTCCACCAAATCAATATAAAAAAGTTACTACCATTAACATGGTAGTTAAAAAACAAAGCAATGACGTTATTTATTTAAGTTCTGATTTTCGTTAACAATACGATGGAAGTGTAATAGAGTATTAAATTTTGATAACAGCAAACTTGCATATAAATAGGTTATTTAGAAGTTAGAGATGAAAAGGATGAAAAGTTTGTGAATATATTTAGTTAGGTGTTACATATAATTTTAACAGCGTTGTGATCAAACAGAAATTACTTTTGGTTTCGTCTAAATCTGTATATCCACATGAATGAACAAGTCTATAAAGGTGGAATGATAAAAAAGAATCCATAACAGGGGTTGGAGAACAGAATCAGGTAAGTTTATATTAAAAAAATATATATATAAGACCAAAAAAATTACAATCATTGTAAAAAACAATAGTTTTGTGCTACTCAGAATAGTAAACAAGCTGACGTCTTACTTGATAGAAAACAGTAAATGCAGTCAATAGATATGAACTATCACAGGATACACTGAGACGCCCCTGGCTGCTATTTATAAGGCTTAATATCTTAATTGCACAAGGACAATTAAAATGTTATACCTCCGTACCCTGTAATTTCTCTGCTATTATCTTACGCCTTAGTCCGAAACACAGCCATCAAACCACAGCTGCTTCACCGCAGAACCACGAGTAGGACAGAGGTAACTTTTGTATAAAATCTCCCTCTGGTTTGATTATCTTTTCTATGGATTAGTCCCTCTCCCACTAATTATTAACTCAAAATTCCATCACCACTAATAAATAAACATCATTTTAATATCTGTCTGTCGAATCTAGTAGAATTAAAAAAACGTACATAAGTGACAATGTAACTATCCCATTTAAATTTACATTTCATGATTTTTTATAAAAGAATCGTTCAAATTTAACTGTTCACAGAATAAGTTTTTTTTTTTTTTGTTTCTCAACAAATATTTTTTAACAGGAATCAATTCGTTTCGTGTTTCAACTTTTATAGATTTGTATTTACATTGCATAATCACATTCGTGCTAGCTTATAGTACCTACATTGCACGCGCACTGTGTATACACAAACATTAAGGTAGTACATATAATTTTCATAAAATCGAACTATTCATAATTAAAATAAAAGCAGCTACATGCATTACATCTTTATCTTTCGATATGATTTCTATAGAAATAATAAAGAATAGAGCAGAGCTATAAAATTAGTAGACCTATTAATATATTGTTTTTAATAATTTTAATAGTCTTCAAAGTGGTTTTTAATCGGGTCTTAACTCAGCGTACACATTAATTTTATTAATGGCATTAATCAACTGTCTCTTGTTGTACAAAATAAAGTATTTGAATTAAATAGCGATAGGTATTTGAACTCATAAATAGTAATACCCTTTTCGTAACCTTCTGCTTTTTAACTGTATTCATAGAAAAAAATATTTGGTTAACCTTAACAGTATATACCAAAAAGAGAAAAAATACAATTTTAATCAATAAAATATAATATTATGAAAACGTAAAAAAAAATATATTTTTATTCATCATATCAGCTGTGAACTGCTTAGTGCTGTTCACACACCCTCCCATAAAGAAGATTTTGTTAACAGTTGCTTGCTTGACATTTGTGGTTATTTATAAAATTAATATAATTATTGTAAAATATTATAAATTAGATATACAAGTGACTTAGGATCATTCTTTATGGCAGTATGTGGACAAATAATGGCTGAGATGATGATGATGATGATGTTGGAGTTTTAATACTGGCTGTTAACACTGAGGTTTTTTAGAACAATGTATTATTTTTAAGTTTGTTCTGTTAGATTTTTATAAGACATGTCTCGTATTTTTTCTCTAAACTTATTATTTTATATCTCAAATATGTTTTATTACTGCATCCTGCTATTTACAAGAGATGATTATATAATACATTAGTTATTTTTAATATCTATTAAGAGTCTATATTAATAAAATGTTGTAAACTACAATAGCGGACTCGTATGTCTCTGGCCATTTCATAGAATAATGATATTCTAAATAAAGAAAAAAATATTCTTCATATATCACCTGTTACATTTTTATTAATAATTCAAAATTTATAATAAATTTAAATAAACTGTTTTTATACGGTGCAATACTTTCACTCAATAGACCCCCTTAATTAAGAGTAAGTACAATAAACCGTTTATAATAACAGAAACAGAAAACGAAAATGTTTAAAATATGCTAACTTATTCTAGTTATAAGAAGATGCTAGTAAATAAGTAGCCTCGACTTAATTATGTAAATGTATGTAGGTATTTTCACAATTCATGAAGCGTTTATCTTGTCGGATGGAATAAGATTCTCCAGCAACATTCTGAAGTTCTGCTACGATCTTTCGCTTTTACTGTGCTATCAAAAACAAGGTACATTCCTATATCTATTGTTTTACTGGCAATTTATAGTATGAATTTGAAAGCAAAAAGGTTCTTGAACTAAGAATTGAACACTAGCCTTATTTTTATTTAGGTGATAATTATATCTAATTTTATGTAACTGTAATATACTAGTGTTACGTTTAAACTTCTATAGAATGAATTGTTCATACAAAACTTTTATAAAAACTTAATTTAAATTACAGTAAAATCTGTACAAAATCCGTTAAATGCTTTAGAAGTAAGAGAAACTAAGTAACATGTATAGCGACTATATTTAAAACATTTTAAGGAAAAAATAATACTAAAGCCTATTTTATTTCCATAATTATAATGATATTTCTATAAATACAATGATAGCTTTTACCAATGACTTCATCTGGGTGATTGGGTTATGTCTACTGACCGGGTTAAAAAATAGCCTATGCTTGGAAAAGGTTCTTTCCCATATAGTACATGTTTAACAAATTTCGTAGCAATTATTTAAGCCATTAAGGTGCTAAGAAGTAACAAATAAACTGACTTTCACATTTATAATATAGAATAAAAATTTACAAAAAATCTTAATATTTTTTATTACTTGCGTGGTTCGAATTCTAAGTATAAAATACATATGTTCTCTTTTGTTAAAGCATCCTCCATTTTCTTCCACGATTTTTCTATTCTGCCCATGATTAACCTTTCTTTTTCTATGTATTTTTTTATGTTATTACTACTTCTTTATGTTATTTGTCTACTAATATTTATTTTACTTCTTATTCGATTGGATAATTTTGAAAATGTAAATTTGACAGGGTCATTATTTTAGCTTTAGTTAAGCCACAAACTTAGTATAACTTAAACCTTTATTTATACTTAAGCGCAATAAAAATTAAATGCTCGTATTAATAAAAGTGAAATTTTACTAAAATTTAAGTGAAATTTTAAGTTAAAAGTGATTTAATTATAATGACAAATCGATACGACTATTGTACATCAAAGATTTCAAGAGCTTCGCAATCAATTAAATTATTAAGCCTATGAAATCAAAGTCACTCAGTAGACAATTAAAATTTGTGCTTAATTTAATTTTGTAATATTTTGTTCCATAAATAACATTGTCTCTTAAAGGATTATTTTTAAAAGAGGAAAAAAATTTATTACACTAAATCCAAGAAGAGAATAAAGTAATATTGATACAAAATTTTAAATTTTTCTACTTAAATCGGTGCCGGTGTGTACAGTACAGTTCAATACGCTTTTAATGTGGTTTACGATCGTTTCAATTGTCCCCCATAATTGCTCTAGACGTTCTTCTAAGCTAGCTCGAGGAAAATTCCCTGACCTTGCGTGACCTTGTTGTTATTAAACTAAGAATACGCATCCTTGAATGTTGTTTCTCGGTTTTATTTTGCACGCAATTAGGCCTCAATGGTGTAATATTTCCTTCAATAATTCTATGAATATTAAAATACAGACTCGAACTTAGTGAATCAAAAAATAATGGTAACAACTTCAACGAAATTTCCAATTTGATCACTAGGAAATTTTATGCTTCATTTATTCCTTTTTCGAGTAAAACGTGATGATATATGGCGTTACACTTAAAAAGGCGTGAAAGGGTTTTTCGGGGTCTTCGATTGTATCCCACGTCAACCGTTCATACATGATTGAGTTATAAATATTCAAACATGATCAAACATTTCACATATTCACAATTTATTATATTAGAAAGATAATAAACGGGTACTTATAAAAACAAAACTATAATAAATGATTTGCTAGAAATATAAACCACTAGTTGTAACAGTCTCGTCCGTTGTATTGTTGTACTTGCAAAATATTACTTTTTCTTTACTTTACCATGATATATTGTATGTATTTCTTTACCCTACATATTTACACCATCTTTTTTAAAATAAGTAGTGAAAATTGTTCTTCTACAATTTCTACTATTATAGTAAAAAAAAGTTCACCAAGTACCACTAAATACAAAATCATAAGAAAACTAATGTAGCCCCAGTTA